ATCTACAGTGTACACTCTGAACCTGTGCATGTTTGAGTTCCATATAGAAACTACATGCTCACCAGTGACTGTGGGCATTTGTGCACAATTGTGCTGTAAAACCATAGGAGGGTTAATATCTTGAGAACAAACAAACATCTATGATTTACCACAATCAGACTGCCATCCTCTGCCCTGGTGTCAAATTCATTGTCCAGGATTTCGGCAATGAAGTCTTGCAACTCCTCTGGTTCAATGCCCTCTGTCAAATGGAAGAAATCAAATTATTGAGGCACCGTCTCCAATCAGACGTCTACTTTGCAAGCCTTGTTGTTGAACACAATCCTTGCCTACACATCATCAGTTTTCACAACAAAACACTTGTGTTCTCATCGCATGCACATGTATTTCCTGAAAAGACAGAGAGTACTGTATTCTACGTGTAAAATCAACTTTTCTCTTCCATACCTAGAAACACTGTGAGTTACGAGATCATTTAATTCCTGCAAAGTGGAAGATTTTACAGGATTCAGGAAATTTGCCAGGCACAAGACAAAAGTAGAGAAAGTCATTAAGTTCATTTGACATCAATTCATGGGATGGCAGAATTCCAAACGATCTTACCATTTTCTTGGAACCAGTTGTACACCACATCCACCATCCACAGTGCCTTCTCCCTGCTGTGGACTCCACCGTACCCGTGGCTCACTGCAAGCTATCGAAGGCAAAAACAGGTATGCAAGAGTTGAATTCCTCCAGCAAAAATCCAAACTGCCTGTCGGATCAACACTGTTCAACTGCTTGAGTCGGTGAGCTGCTGGCAGGATCAAGCTAGTTTTAAATCCTTTCTATTCACATACAATCTAATAGTAAAAATATCATATTAGTACAGAATATTGCCTCCTCTGCCCCCAAAATGCAGCATCACCTTAACCTTTGCATGACCAGATGCAGCAAAAGGCAACAGGTGTACAAATCGGGTGCACTGTGTTGCATTTGGCAGTCACCAGTGGCCCAACAAACTGCCCATGTCAGGAGCTGGTTCCATTGAACAATGCCACTGTTGGATCCTGCGACGGCTGGAAACTGCAGACTCCAAGAATGATTGGCCTCTGGGATATCTGACTTGTTGAACCTTATTGACTTGGGCAGGGAAGCCACTTGGACATTTGATGCACAATGGTGCATCTTGTACAATCTATGGCCAAAATATCCAAGGTATAAACCAAAGACAGGACTCAAGGCTGGGTGCTGGGTAAATGTTTGGATGACCAACGATTTTTCCCAGTTCTTTTAATGGTCTTAGTCTTATTAGGATAGGATAATCATGACAATATGACCGTTCATGATACAACTGTCTTATTTTGCTAAAATTTATCTACATGCTTTAGGTTATAGCAATCAATCATGCAGGAATAGGTTCCAATTTCACTGGCTATAGCACGCATTTGTCAACTGATGAGTGATAAAATGCTTCTTCAATTTTGGAGCTATGGCAGAATACCCTGCCACTCTAAACTATCCCCTCCCCCCCTGAAATCACTGGTTACTTGTGTACAAGGTGGAAATCCCCCTAAGCCTTATCGCAAATACTGCATGGGTGATTTTGCACAATGGAAGGCATTGTGGGAAGGAAAAAGGGGCAGGATAAGGCTTATGAGAACAGTGTGACATTTTCACCTCATAGCCAGTTACAACCATGACAACAAGGGTTGATCATGCAGGGTGCTGGGATTGGGTATTCTGCAACCATGGAGGAACATGCCGCAACTGAAGATCAATACTAGGCCTACAGATACTAGGCCTAAGCCCATGGCAGAATTCTTTCTCACAAGTGCCTTATCATTTGTCTGTTTATGACGACCAATTCAAGTTTCTTGAATATAGCATCTCGCCATATCACGCGGAACTCTAATCTCCGCCCTTGCGATTGCGCAATTGCCTGGCTAGGGAGTGTACAGCTACATATATGTACATGGTAAAAAAAAATACACAAGCAAGCCTTTTGAAACGTAAGGATGTAGGATTGTTATGGTTCGAGAATGAACACGACATGGTGCAATTTTTACATCATATATTACAACATTCTTCACTTTTGTCATATCACCTGAAGAACTGTCCACCCATCCAAAATACTCGATATACTTCTTCGAAAAACTCCAAGTGGTGATTCACTGGAGGCCGCCATCTTGCACGCTGTGGAGTTATCTCAAAAAGCTAGGGCGCCCCCTCACAGATTTCTCTTGTTATTGACAAGCTTTTTCAGATACCTTTCATATACTAGCAGACAAATCAAAGGATACGTAACTGAATAGAGAAGTGATAATAAAATAGCCGTTTGGGGCATTTAGATTCATTTTGGCGGGGAAAGGTTTTAAAAATACCCGATCGACAAATTCATAAGCTAAATGCATAGACCTAATATTCAGGCGCGGCCACTCTCCTGCTGGCCCTCGGCACCTGTTTAGATAACACAAAACGAACCTGGGGAGGAAATGGTCGCTGAAGGTAGAATAAAAGAACTTCATAGGGAAAAACGATAAAAGTGAAAAAGAGAACATGAATATAATTGTATTTTCCATCTTACCCTGACATGTATGTGTGATCAGTACTTTGTACTCATTGCTTCTCGAGTGCTATGGGGGAAAACAGTCCAGATAGTTGGCAGGCATTCTTCTCACGGGGCAGAGGATTGTAACCCACGACCCAAGCATAGCACGTTTAACCAATAGACCACCAAGAGTTCCCAGCGACAAGAGGCCGGTTCGAACCCCTTAAAATCAGAACTATTGAACGAAAGAATATCAACTGAATGTCAATCTTTAAAACTGTCCTGTGACTGTATTGATGCTGCATAAAATCACTGATGTCTCTCTTCAGCGATCTGTTGACAGAACATCGCTCAAATAAGATACACAACGATGCACTCCTGTCGTGTGTACGTCATTAAAGGGGATTTACACATTTCCTTTATTGGGGGTTGTGGATGGATCATCGGTGGCTTTTTCCTCAGAGTAGAGGAACGAGAGAATGAAAAACAAATTTGAACAAGATTGTCTGTTGTTTGTATATTCTAACGAGTCCTTCAAGTCCAACAAAAACCTGTATTTTGCTCTGAATTAAGATTCGATTTGGTCTCTCGTGGCTGGTCGCTTGGTGATGCCGTGCTGTTCAAGGCAATGCGTTGGAATGCTCCTCTAAAATATTGCTCTTGGATTGTTTTCCTTGCAGAAGTCGGGAAACGGGAAGTAGTCCTCAAAGGGCCTAGGTGTTCAGATAAATTGCAAAATATACATTCCTTTTCTTTCTTAGAGTCAGGGAAGACGTGTAGTGGGCCGGGAACCCCATGAAACGTCAGAGGAGTCATTTGTGGAAGCCAGTAACTGCGATTCCTTGAGAATTTCGGGAGTCTATGCGCCAGAACGCTTGGCCAACACCGTTTAACTTGCTTGTGAAATACCCTCACCACTTTTCTACATTTTACTAGTCACAGAACCCTCGGGGAGAAGACGTCCCTTTTTGAACATAAATCGAATAATGCCAAAATGTACCTATTAAATCTCCCCCGAAAGTTTTCTTCTTAACTCTACAAACTGGCCATTTCATAAGTTAGTTCCCTAGTTACTCTGCTTGGAAACGGCACAGAGCAGCCAAATAACATCGCCTTTTATAGAGTGACCGTAAATTCGTAAGAATTCCTCTAAAGACGTTTTTCAAAATGTAGCTTTAAAGTTATTTTTTTAATGTGATTTTTTAAATTAATGCGTTGCTTTTCTCCCTCAACAAACTGCTCCAAATGGATAGATTTTGCATCTACAATGGACTCGTAACTACCAAAGCAGGATTTGACGAAATTAACAGTTATCAAGCCTTGCCAGAACTTTTTACAAGAAGGGTCCTATCCAGCGCACCTGTGTTATTTTACTGAGAGCGTCTAAAATTGCGGGATCGGGGACAGGCACTCTCGCAGTTGATGGTCGGATTCGCGTAGATTTTCGGCCCCGTGCAACGACACTACCAAAGATGCAAATTAAAGTAAACAAGTACGTTTGCAGGATCTACCCAGCTTCGTACATGTCGAATACTATCTAAATAACAGGTTTTAAATCTACAAAAAGCAGGGGTTTTTTTTTTGTTTTTTTTTATAGCTTTCCGCGGCTTGGGGACAGTCCCAGGCAAGTTTGAGCCTGGGCGTGATACCTCCGCAGTCATGATTTATTAAGAATCATTGAGCTAGCCAAACCACTGAGTAATAAAAAGGAACCCATGTTGCATCAGGTAGATTCACTCTCATAGGCTGAAGACTGAAAGACACCCATGCGCTGGTAATTTCTGATTGCCTTTTCGACTTGGCTACAAAGTGTCGACTCACCGGGACTTCTACATCCAGGCGAGGGACAGATGCACATTTGAAGGAGGGTGGCTCGTCATCGCCGTCGACAACGATGTCGAGCAGGACAGTGGGTCAGTGACTTCTATGGCATACCGCCTGTAATGCTTAGTACTGGGTTGGGCAAGTTGTAAGGATCGATACGATGGGCGCGTTCGTGATTCGCCTCCAAGAGTTTGCAACGCGGTGCGCCCACTCACAATGCGCGACATCTGTCGACCCAATGCGCGTTTGGGAAGGGTCGACAGATTTCGCGCACCGTGATCGGTCAACGCGATCTAAGAAAATCTAAGAAAGATCTTAGAATATCTAAGAAAAATGTTAAGAAAATCGCCTATCTTGGTCTAGCTGGAGGACTCACATAACTCACTACAGGCCAGCCCGTTGGAAAAACGTCCGACATACCCTGCCTTTTAGAAATTCGTCCAGGGACAAATTTACCGATAACTTCGCATGATCTAAACGCGTAATTTTGGTATCTGTATTAAACTGTTATTGTCACCAACTGACATGTCAACAATTTTTAAAAGCATCATAACTTTAAATGTTTGCCGTTAGGGCGGCTCCGCAGATGACGTGCAGCTGCTCCCAGCTCTCTCCAACCACATTATGTTTGTGAAGCATTTAAATCCCAAAATCCACGGTACTTTGACATCAGCGAGGTAACATACACGTATAGTTCAAATAATTAGCAAAGCTTCCAACCGCAACCCAACTTGGACGAATGGAAACCTACTGGGGTTCAAATCTGACAAATCTGACATAGAGTGTTTGGTATGGTCAAAAAGCAAATTAGCTTAATTTTTAAATTGATTCGTGTCCAGAATTGAAGGTCATTCTTGACCTAGTTCATTTCCAATATTATATTTTAGATATAGTCTCTCTATTTGTAGTTTCAGTTCTCTGAAGCGAGGCTTCATGTAATTTCCCACCCCAAAAATAAAAATCCATTGAAAAGTAATTGATATACAAGTATATATTTCTGCAAATTGTGTTTTATTTCCATTGCATGATTGTATCAAATGAATGAAAATTCATTAGAAAGTCATTAATATATTAGTTCTGATACAAATTTCCATTCATGGTGCATAAAATACACTCTTGCATTCTCAAAAGCATAAAAACGGAGCAAAATGTTCAAATCAGCAAATTTTGTGCGCAAGAAGGAACGTGACAGATCAAGATTTATTTTAAGCTGCAAGCTTTCAGTCAACTGGGAAACTTTGAAAACCAAAGCATGCAGTTAATTCATACTTTTAAAAAATTGTGACAAAATATCAAGGCTCACTTGTTGAACATGAAGGCAGCATTTTTCAAGATAAATTTGTGCTTTGATCACTTCAAAGATACTACACCAATAACTGGGTATTGTATGAATAGCCAACTACAACTACTTTTGCCATTCAAATCTTCCACTCAACCTTAGAAAAACATGTTTTCTTTTAAATATGACTTCAAAGTTACGAGCAGAGGAAGGCTAGCCCTTTTACTGGTTCTTATGCGAAACGCCAAATTTCAAACATTTGATGTGCCAAAAGGCAAATTCAGAGCCAGCTTTTCAGATGGCCTTTTTTTGGGGGGGAGGGGTTGAATGCAAACAAATTTGGAATATCTTTGTACATTTTAATGGCCTACGAAGGGCACGGCCACATTCTGCAGCTTTTTACACACTTTTGGAAAGAGGAGGATGAAAAGTTCTCACCCAGTGCTAAATTACCCTTGTTTGGAAATTTGCCAAGTATTGGCTAGTTAAAAGTTACTAGCTCAAAAAAGTCATGCCATGCATCGTACGTGCCTGGTACTCAACTAGTCTCTGCTTTGCAAGCATTGCCGCTTGGCAGTGCTGTGAAATTGGAGGGGGGGGGCAGTCCCAATTGGAATTTGTTGTGGGTGGCGGCCAAAAGTGTTAGATTTTTCTCAAACAACCCTTTTTGAACTATCTTTACGGTGCTTTTCACATGCTTTTGGAAGGAAGGAAAAGAAGAAAGACCCCCAAAATTGCCTTTCTCTTATTTAACAAAATAATTGTACTCTTTTTCTTTTACGGAAGAGGGCCATGGCATCCATTGCCTCCCCCCCATAAAAAATGATCCGCCATCAATGTTACATTTTAATGATGTCAATGGTTTTCACAGACTGCACTTCAAATACCAAGGAAACATTTCTAACCGGGGCACTTTTCCAATACTCAGCTTTGTCTCTAAAAGCAATCCCCGAATGGAGGCCAACAGTGTTTTTCAATTAAATAGAAATAGACTGTACCTCGATATTTGGCTCTGTGGCATGTTGTACAATGTTTTGTAGGCACCACTAGACAAATTATTGAGCCAAAACAATTCATAGTCAGGGGGTTCAAACGAGGCAAAGCCTGAGGCAGAGGACAAAGCGTAGTGTTGAAAAAAAAACCTATGAAAGCAAGTCTTGCTAAACGCAGACTGGAGCCTGAGTAGACATGTGGCAGTAGCATAACGCAGTACCTTACACAGGCAGATAGAGTTTTTACAGTGGCAAATCCACGACTGACTTACTTTAGACCTTCTTGCAGGAAGCTACAAACTTTACTGTTTTGAAAGAAAGCAGCGTTTATAATGGTATACATAAAAAATGCCACTCTAAAATTTGGTAATAATTTGAAAATAAACAAAACTGTCACTTTTATATGAGTTGGTCTTGGGTACCTCAGCATTTAGTGGGTTCCTCAAAGTAGTAAAGAAAGTGTCTTGTCAATATTGCATTATGTGTATTGATGATAAAAATCTCGAGAAACATCAAGTAAAGAAGTAAGTTTAAATGCTAGCACCAACGAACAGTATTGTTAAAAGCAACAAGGCATTTCAACTATCAAAGAATCTTTTGAAAGACTGAAAACGAAAAAAGAATTATAGAGGAAAAAAAGACTTTTGAACCCAGCTCAACCACTTCCACCAAAAAAACCTCATCGGGGAATTTCACCTTGGACTTCTCTTTTCCAAGACGTAGATCTTGGGCTCCATCTTGATGTAAGGGCTCTCCCGCAAGCTAATGCCAGAGAAGCCCTGTACGACAGCCACGATGTTGTGGGTGGAGCGATAGGGCCTGACGGCACTGCTGACGTCCGGCCGGGATGAGGCACCAACGCAGAGGTGGGTGAAGGCCATTACGTCCGGCCCCCCAGGTGGCAAGTTTTCAGTCTTGTTGTATCTGAAGGTGCGATAACTACTTTTTCTTACACCGGGGTAATAATGCAGGGGGTGGGCTTGTGGTGGGTGAGGGGGGGAATTCAGAGAGGGGCCCAAAAGTGTTAAGGACTTCTTTCAGTACACTTTATGGGCTTTCGAGGGTGTAAAACTAAATTTAGGGGCTCTGCACGTGCTTGGAGGAAGGGAAATTAAATAGTCTAAAAAGCCTCTTAGAGTATTTTGGCAGAAAAAAAGACTGCCTGCTTTGAGGGGCCAAGGGGTATATAGGCCCATTTTTTTGGGTTGTGCACTGGCAGTCTTTGAAAGTTCCTCAGTGATTTAGTTTACATGACTTTATTTGAGATCATTTTCCGAAACCATCAGCAAAGACCATGTGTTAATAATACACAAGTTTAATATTTTCCCTCTAAAAATGCATATATAACCCATCAAAAGAGTGACTAAAACTTGCAAAATACTCAGAATTCAACTTGTTGATAAGACTTTTTTTTTTCAATGTGAAGGATCAGTTACTGCCGATGACAACTGGAAGTGATGGCAGGCAGTCACTTACATCCAATGTCTGTTGACTTGAGTGAACCTGGTTACACCAGTCTGGGCTGTTGCAACATCAATGTGGACGTGAACATGAGCTGCCATATGAACAAGGATCAAAATTTCTTCAATTAGAATCTTCCGATAACATACCACAATCCCGACAAGAACTCCTCAAAGGCACTAAAACACTCTTGTTGAGTCTGTGCAATTTCACGAAGCATGAACTTTGCCTCCGAGACAAAAATCTCAACACGAGCTCTCCAGCAGGATGTGAACCAGTTTCGCCGGTGGGAGAAGGCAGAGACAACCTGAAAACCCATTTGTAACATAAGCAGTGGCATAACAGGAGGGGTGAAATTTTGGGGAGGGGGGCACCCAGGGGGCACACAATTTTGTCCAAGGGGACGCCAAAAGAAAATGAACTGCAGCTTGTATAAAGGTTGTGTGATTTCAAGAGGGGAGAGGACACTGACATGGGGGGGGAGGTAGGCACACCCTCTTCTCTCCTAATTATGCCACTGGGCACACCTGACCAAAGATTGTATAGCGCCAAAGGCGCAAGATGGATAACCCTGCCCCAAAATGTAATTATCATGGGCGCCATTTGAGCAAGCGAATTCGCCTGCGCAGTTTACGGTAATGCTTGGGTGCAGGCTCACCAGGTGCACGTGCCTGCTGTGGCACCTGCGCCTGTGCATTAATGTGCATTGCGCACGCGTATCGCTTGCTCAAATGGCGCCCATGTGATTACAACGTTTTACGTGTATTCACGGTGAAGTTTCCGATCTTGCGCTGCTTCGCAGCGCTATACGATCTTTACGCCTGACCAAGCAACCTGGACATAGTGGATGACAAATACTTGCTGATCAAATTTGACTTCATCAGAGTTCAGCCCGCCCAAACCCCTCATACCTGTATCTTGAGGTACTGCATCATGAAGCTTGGTGAGTGCGACCCCACCGGGGTAATTGTGATGGGAAACCACCAAGAAGGCTAGGGTGGCTGCCATATTGACCAGGAAATGTCCTATGACCCCTACGGCCAGTAGCTTCATGAACACTGACTTGCTGAAATGCCTAAATCTAAAAGAAACAAAGAGAAAAGGGAAAAGAAAGAGACCAAGAACTTGAATTTACAAATTTAGGGAACACAGCTCTAAATAAAACAGTGGATAAATGAGTAAACCTGAAATTAAATATTTATAGAGCATTCCTAACAGAAAGGCCTTTTCACTGAATGTGTAAGCAAAACACGTCTGTTTGCACACAGTGTCCAATGGTATTGTTTTGCTATAGTTATAAAGAGGTAATTGGAGAAGCAGGTCACATAGAACAATGTGGGTCACATGCATATCATACTCAGAAAGTTCACAGTACGTATTTTATGCATCCTGAGTATAATATGCATATGACGCATGTCATTCTATGTGACTACCTTATAAAGATGACCAAATCAATTGACTTGAGCAGGACACGTTTTCAAAACGCACTCTGAAGAAACCTCAAAGAGAAATTATGTACTTACATCATTATCCAGGTGAACTGAAGTAAGATTTGAACCTTTGAACCACAGGTGTTCCTGCAGGTTGCAGGTTCATAGCCTGCTCCAATAAATCACTTTGGTAATCTTCATAATTACTACGGCAAATTCAACTTGGCAGTTTTACTTTTTAAAAGAGACGCAATTTCAGCCTCCAATTTTCTGTGCCAAAGTCACTGATTTGTGGGTGATGTGGAAACAGCAAAAGAGAACAAGATTCTTCTTTTAAACATGATATATCCACAAGTCAGACCAAGTCCAAATTACCTATCTGTGGCTGAGAACAATACATGTACCTATGGAAGCCATTAGTTAGTGACTCCTTGAATTTCCTGCCCACCTGTGTGTTTTATCAAGCATCAGCCATGTCATTCAGACATAGCCCCCAATTCAAAAGAACTACAGAGTGCGAGCCATTTACTCACATATAAGATATTGCAACTGCCGCAGCGGTATTTAGCATGGGGAACACGTAGATGATGAATCGTAATTCTTTGTGCGGCAGAAACGAGTACAGGAAAACGAAACCCATCGGTGGTAAGAGAAAGCGCCAGACCCGCCGGTCCACGAAGCAGCCAACGGGAACCAACATGAGACTCGCAGCCATGGCCCTGGGTATTGCCGAGTAGAAGTACCACATGAAAGGAGATGTCTGATTGGTCGAATCAAGGATTAAAAACAGGCACTGAAATAATTTTTTTTTCTTTGACTGTGATCTAGAGTTGAAGAAATTCTAAAAATATTTTACGAACTTAACAAGCACAGTTGCTCAGAAATCAACACACCAGTGAAGGGAAGGAAAGTTGTAAATCCTGCCAGCAAGCTAAGAACCCACTGTGGGATAATCAAAAAAGCAACTGCTGTGCTTATGCACGACTATTTGGTTTTATTAGTAAGATAAGGTGACCTATGACCTCCGTTTCCAAGGATACACCCCAGTTGCTGCTCTTGTTGAGTACAGTGTTGTACCACAACACTGCGCCTTCGGGCCATAACCAATACTGCCAGAAGAAGGAATCTGTCAGCACGGTTGCACCTGTAGGGATAGGATGCCATTTCAAGCCATATCTCTGTAATTTTCAGAGCCATTTTAACCAAGACATGAAAGTCAAATCCCAAACAACTGGAATTCCCTATTCTGTCTGTATACACTAATAATCAGAGAGATTTGCACAGAAAAAGACCGTCAAGGTAAACAAGTGGGAAGGTACGTAAACATCTCCAATGCAAACATTACCCTAAAAGGGTCAGGTGTTTTAAGTTGAACCTGCTCACAGATAGGGCAGGGGAAATCCTGCACCAAAAGATATCAGCTGTCCAGTGAACAATCCTTTTTTTTTTAACTTAGCATGCATGGAAAGACATCCACTTGAAGCTATGGTCGTTCACGCTTCCACTGGTGTCAGTCTGTGCCCTAAACGTGCCAGTCAGTGTGCAAGCGTGCAGCCAACCTCTTTGGAAAAAAAGTTGGCATTTTCCGAGTACAGCATGTCTGCTTTCCATAACACTGGTGTCAAAATGACCACATATACGGCTTGACATATGGAAAATGCACGGTGACGAAATAGGGAAAAATACGGTGAAGGGGAGGAGGGAGGAGAAAGATAGAGGAGGGGTCATTCTGCTCTTCCCCGAAGCTCTGTTAGGGCTGAAAGGATTGGCTGCCACAGATATCAGTGCAACTGGGCACTGGGGAGAACAAAGGTAAGGTGAATGAAGACTCACCCAGGCTCAGGACACCACCAACAGTCCCCCAACCTAAGAGCGACACCAGGCCCAGCCGGCGAGACAGCAGCTCCTCTAGCAGCATCAGGCCCAGCAGCAGGCAGAGCTCGAAGCGGAAGGCCAAGATGGCGAAAGCCGAGAGCAGGATGAAGTCGCGGTGATCCCGCTGCATCCAGGAGCTGATGGCCCGGAGAGCTGGAAAACACAAAAGATGCTGAACTTTGGGCCTGTTTGTTACTTGCGGATCCGAATCTCGCTCGGTGATCCGTCATTGGTTTACCAACATCAAAACCCACCTAAATGATGGAGCAAACCAGCGTCGGGATCACTAATCAGGATCCAGATTCGTGTGAAATAAACAGGCCTTTGCCTACCTGCTTTGTGGATTCCTGCCATGTACCCTACAAGAGCCAGTCCCTCCACGATCTGGGCTATCCAATGCCAAATCATTTTGCAGCTCGGTATGCATGGAAAAACACTCACTGTAAATTCATCTGTGAGGTTTCAATTCAATCTGACATAGGTTTTACCTCAACGAAAAATTTAAAAAGGCATAAATATGCCATTCTGATGTAAAATTTTGCAGGAATGGCGGATGTACCTGTATCGTGAACATCACCCCCTAGTGTCATATGGTGTCAGCACCAACCCCTCTCCCAACTTTTCAAATTTCCATGGCCGGGCAAGTTATTTCCCCCCCACACATACACAATTCCCCATCCCCGACCCCCCTAATTTCCGGCACAACTTTACGCCACTGGTCAGGTAGACATGTACCAATACATGCTTAACCTTGTGGGCCTTCTGACCACCTGTACAACTCAGTTCATATGTGGATTGTTTAATTTGGATGATCTTTCTCTGTAAAACCAATATCGCAAAGTGCTTGATATGAGGTTGCAGTCTCTCACCAATGGCTAGGGCAAAGACGTTGGGCAGGGGTCTTGTCATGTAGAACATGAAGTGAAACTGTGACAGCGTGATGAGGACGAGATACTTCGCCGTGCTGTGGCCAAACTTCCACGTCACCTGCTCGCAAAAGTCCCGGAAGGAGTGTATGACCAGCAGGCCCAGACAAGCTCTGACTGAAATCAGAACAAAACAGAACAGAACAGAGGTAGTCGGAACAAAGTATTTGGTTGAATCAAACTGTTTCGCATACCAATATCCTAATCTTCCCAGATCCTTCACAATCTATTTTGTTTTTGATGATTCCGAAGGACTGAGAAGGGTCAAGGAGGAATATACTCTTACAACTCGTAGGAAAAATGATGGCTCCTACTCCAATGAAATCTAATGGCCTTCTGTCCACACTACCCTGTTCTGAACTACAATGAAGTCCAAAGTACATCCTGTGAAGGCTCATAGTCATGGATCCAAGGGGGAGGGGCCTATCCAGTGCATGCAACCCTAATTCGTAAACTCTGGTTTCCTTTCTTTGGGGGGAGGGTCGTGGCAAGTTTTTGTTTTCTGCGTTTTTCTGCTGTGAGCTGCCTTTTTATTCACCCCCAATCCAAAACTTTTACTGAGATGAACATACAGGTTTCCTGTTTGTATCTGTCCTCCTTCCCATCTTTTCACCAATGCTGAACCCTCCAAAAGCACAGGTTTCCACTCTCGCAGTTTACTCAATGTAAATAAGGCAGGAAAAATGAGGTGGATGAACTTATCACACCATACATTCCTCAACGCAGCCTACAATCATCAAACAAGAGTCTTCTTGTGACCCCAAGGACATATACGACTTACAGGAATAGGGCGTTTTCATTAGCTGCACCAGCCCTCTGGAATACTCTACCAATAGGTATTCGCACAGCTTCATCCTTAGACACATTTAAATTGCAACTAAAGACCTATTTGTTTTGAAATTTACTTTAATTAGGCACTGTCTTGATCCATATCTCTTTATCAACTTATTTGATTTCTAGGAATAGTGTCCCATATAAATGCATATTATTATTATAATTTAACATTAAGGCTGTCTTGTACAATTCATGACAAGTCATCCAGTCTTAAACCAAGTCATAACTACTGAAATGGACTGTGACTTAAGTATTCCCCTGTCAATGCTCACCCAACTGCTGACTAGTCTTGTGACCAGACTTGTCAAAGGACTTCTGATGGATTCCACTACAATACTGAATCAAGGGTAGTGTATGCAACAGCAACTTTTTATAATTCACTATGCACTGACACTGAGACGTGTATTCAAACAAAAGCTATGAGTACAATCTGTAGTTGTTCTCTCTTTTATGGGGCTTACCAATATACTGTGAGACAAATGTAGATGCCCCCAACATTGATGCTGCCGTTACAAATGGATACGAGAGAGCCGACACCACCACAGGTCCAAGGAAGGTCCTCGGAACCACCCCTGGGAACTCCAGATGGTCGTACTAAAACGATAAATGGAAAAAGTAGCCACAGTAACACTGTGTTTGTGTTGGACCTTTTTCTCGAAAACTGGGAAAGTCTTGGACAATGAAGGTACTAACAATTACCAACAGCAGAGTCTTACCACTTCAACCCTTTGACTCAGTAAAACTTGATAGAAGAAGCTTGAAAAAACCTCAATAACCCCACCCTAGTGTCTGAACAGTCATGAAGGTGCTCTATAATTCAATCCATTTCACTTGCTTGACTGTATACACAAGCTAGTTACCAGCAGTCCGATTCCCAACAAAGTCTGCTATACAGAAATCAAAATTCCACACGACACTACACAATCGTTGTGCAAAACCAACCGGAACCCGACCCGAACCGGTCTTCGACTTTATCTATCCCTTTGTGTTTGTAACAGAGATGTTCTGTGTTATCATGTGAATTACTTTGACCGCACTTACTGCACTGATGTTAGAGCGGTGGTAGAGGATGTCGTGCATCGCCTGCACGTTGAAACTCTCCTCCACTTTTGTGAATGGACAGACGTACAGGTGGATCATGGGAATGACCAGCAACAGGAGGGAGAGAAGGGGTCCAATACTTCCATCCTGCAAAAAAAAATTAATTAATTTTTAAAAAGATAAATAGATCCAAAGTAAACTGTTTCAACTCCATCAATGAAGTTACTTAACAGTCAACGTAAAAAATTAAGAATTGAAAAGGCACTTTGTAACGTCAACCATTAATAACCTAGGGGCCAGTTACCCCCAGAACCATGGGGTCCGACGTCGTGGTAGCGGGGCGGATGTCGGACCCCACAGTTCTGGGAGTGGGGGCCAGTAACTTCCCTGGCAATTTTAGTGATTGGAAACTCCCTTACGCCTTCAAAATCCCCCCACTGCCTGGGCCCACTAGCACTTGCTATGTACATGACATGTCAAGGCACAACAAGTGCCCTACAAATCAAAGCCTGGGCGCTGCCTTCCAAGCAGATTGTAATTAACACAAATCAGTAACTCATCTCAAGTCTTGTTCTGCTTTCACAGCCATATCCTTCTGTGAAAACGGTTACAAGTTGCAATTTGGTTTGGGCATTGCCGGAAGTAAAAATTTGTCCAGACTTGAAGCCAAATCAAAGATAAATTGAAGTTTCAGCTGCTAAAGGGAATGCTACACAAGATGCGGTTCACAAGTCAGTGACTCAGATTTCCAAATTTGATTGTCAACTCGCTCACACACTGAGAATCAAGTTGACACAACTCACTTTCTTGAAATGACTCATCTTGACTTAAACGCCAAGTGAGGGCCGCAGCTAACACACTGTAAGGGTTTTCTAACATCCAACTCTATCTGACAAGATAACCCACCTCAAAGACATCTTCTTTGTCCAGGCTTGAACTGAGGAAGCCCCCGCGATCATCGGACCAGGACACACGCTTCTTCTTTTTCTTCATCTCCGCCATGGCCACTGACTTCGGAGCTGGAGTACTGCTTGGAGCAGTCTCGGCGTGGCCGACATGTCGCTTCATTCCCCAGCGGAGAAAAATGACCAGAACTGCTTGAAGTTTTGCCTTCCTCAAAAATCCTGCAAATGAGGTTCTCCAAACTGACTGATGGATTTGAGTCACACGAATCACAGTCACCGCCACAAGGTCCGTCCGTACCGTATGCGCAAACTGACGGTCCCATGTGTATAATTTTTATCACCTCAGCGGCGACTGGATTGGCCACGATTCTAATTTGTTTGCATGGTGAACCAATCGAATGCTGTTTTATACAGACGAGACAGGTCTGATTATTCACACAGTCATTTAATAACCTCTGACATCCATATGTTTGGTCTGCGTTCGCAAATTATGTACTGACTAGACGTAGCAGCTAAAGATAAGTAGTCATATTCGCCGAGAAGCCAAGAAAAAATGTAAATTTTCCTCTCCTGTCAGACTTCCCTCAGGCAGAAAGTTCTAAGGTATTATAAGCATGGTGAGGCAGTTCGATTATCAAAAACTGACCGTGATCAGAGCCCTGCGGACGATTTCAACATCGTCGTCCCGTTCGGCAGCGCCAGCGGGAAGCTCTGTCAGTGGTCCAGGTAGGCCGGCCGGTGTAGGTCAGCCCGATCAGAAGGGGGCTTCCACCGGCCTGCTAAGCAGACTACGGAGTGACGGCAGGGTGTTGTCTTTGTTGCAAACGTACGAGGATGTGGTGGGCATTGGAGATGTCAAGCGGGCTCAAGAGAGAGTGACCCAGGTCATTGATTTAATTCACATGATTTTTCCAATTTGCCGTGATTGTAAGCCATCAAAGCTTGTCATATAAAGAAGATTGGATACATGATGTTGCAATGGCACATAAAAGCTCATTTTAAAGTTATAAATGCAGAAAGTCATTTTTTTTTACAGAAACCAAATGTCATTTGAATCAAGACTATTTGAAATGTATTTTTTCATCTTTAGATTGAAAAGGAATTTATGGAAGTTCGTGAAACTGTCAAGAAATCCGCCCAAGAGTTACACAGTGTTCAGGCAGATTTAAGAGCAATACGTGCCAAGCTGGACAGAACACCCCGCGATGATGCAAAATTCTTGGAATATGCAACAGAGGAGCATCTGGCCATCCAAAAGGAACGGAAGATGGAGGAGAACCACGACTTGCTGGAGGATGTGGAGAGAAGTACATTTGCTAAGCTGTCGACAGCCGTGAGAGAGAGTCATGAGAAGCAGCGATCACAGGAAGAGAGAACAAAGTACTGGGGCATCATTGGGTCTATTGTGGGGACGATCATTGGCCTGCTGGGCTCCACAGCCATCAACCAAAAGCGCATGTGGGAGCTCCGGACTATGGTGGGCGACCTGCAGAAGGACATTGGCCAGAATGGCCAGCTGCGGGACCTGCAGGGCCTGGTGGCAGACATCCGAACGGCGGTGGGCGACGGCAGCAGTGGGGACGACTCGGGCCCTGGCACCAGCGAGGTCGTAGCGGCCCTGGACCGACTTGCCGAGCAGCAACGGGAGGGGTTGGAGGCCCAGGAGAAGAACCTGACCAAGATCCTCAAGCACCAGGAGGGGGTCCTTGTGAAGGAGATGGAAGGGGTGCGGAGGTTCGCAGCTGTTGGGACTGGGGACGTGACCACCTTAGAAGAGCTTGTCAACAACGCCGAGCAAAAATTGGAGTGGGAAATGAAAATGAGCACGCTATCGACCGTCGTCTTCATCTATGGAGCCTTCGCCCTGACACTACCTATACTTTATAGTATATTTAAATAATGAACTGCACATATTAAATCAACAACGCCTACAAACAAGGTAGAACAATGCAAAGTACCAAATTTCTGCATCCAAAGACACAGCTTTACAGGGAATATTGGACACTGGACAAGGTGGAGGTTGAATAACAATCAGTGTGTAGGATTTCTCAAGCAAATTGACAAAAGTTTCTTTAAAAATTCCATTTTTGCTTGCCTAATTAATGCTTTAACGTGCAGTATTCTTAAAAAAAAGTCAAAGGTATAAAAATAATCCAGTTTGTAAATACAATTAACTGTACTTGTATTTACTTTTGCATTTTGCCTCATCCTAGTAGCATGCGTTGTCAAATTTAGGCTCCCACTTCTTCTAATCTTGTACCAAGCAAGTAATCATTCTGTTCTTCCATTATTTTGTATTTTTATAAGTATAATCATTGTTCTCCACAGTAATGTATTGTGTTTCCATCTTCTAAATTGGAACAAAAGAGTAATGATCATTATGTTATGTTTATTGACTCAGCTTTGGTAAATTAGTTTTCTACAAGATCACTTTGACTTTGTATTCTTTATGAATTATGCTGCCCATCGAGCTGAACAGGATGCAGATATTTTCAATATGTATGTACATGTATTCCTGTTCAAAATAGCTTTCAGGCCAGTAGCTAGGACTTTTTGTGGGGGGGTGCAAATCCTCAACAAAGCGGACCAAGCATACATGTAGATTTTTTGCTATTTTATTTTGGAAAAACAGCAGGATTCATGAGGTCGTACCAATTGTTTTGGGGGCCTTACAAGGAAACTTCCAAAGAGGCAAAAATACCGAAGCGCGTGGCATTTGTTTCTTGCACAAAATGTTCTGCTGTTGCTAAACAACATTTCTTGCTTTAAAAGCTGACCTTTTAGTTAAGTGGGGGATGGGGTGCGGATACACCCCTGCACCCCCCCCACCCCCGTTATGGGCCTGGTCAAAGCTCATTGAACTCTTGAAAGCATTGGAAATTGCTACTTGTTGCAAATGAAATACATATTGTATTCCATCCTAAAATTCTAAGTGGGATGATTTCAGGAGTCAAGATAGAAGTACCTGTGGAAATGTTTTTGTATGTTTGTTTTTAGGGGTTGTTGAACAAATATGAAAGGCCAGTTTGTACATTTGCCATATTGAGCATGAGCGCGATTTCTAGCTTTGTGGTGAAATTGCAAAAGTTGAACCCATTTTGTCATTGTAAGTACTTCCTGGAATCAAATTTGAATTCATATTCACCTCCGCATGAAAAGTTCAAACCATCCTCCAAAATTGGTCTCACGCCAGTTCCATTACAACCCAGTTCAAGGCACACATAAATGCCTCATAAAAAAATCAGGAGTGTGTCTGCGTGGACATGCTTTGTTTTACCAAAGAGGACAGAAAGGGGACAAAAGGTGTTGTCCTTGATGGCCAATCTATTGTCCTTGGTGGTAAGTGCCTTTGCTCAGTTGATGAGAGAGGAATAATATTATGGGACCAGAGGTAAACACATTGCCCTCTCCTTGGTGGTATATCAAAACACACCTGTGTTCGGGCAAGCTGTTCCTTTGGTGGACTTGGTAACAAAAGAGGTCCACACACTGCAGCTAATGAAGACACGGCGTGGACTTGCTTGCATGCAAGTCCAGGTGTCCTCCCCTTCTCTTCACAGCAGTTTCAGAGGATGTACTTTCATACCGAGTATCAAAATACGGAGGGAAAATATTCTGTCCACTGGTTTTTTTTTTCAAACACATGGCGATAAAAGAATGTCCACAGTAGCTTTGTGTAGTCTTAGTTGTCTCATCTTATGCTGCATGTCTATGTGAGCACTACAAAGTTTTGTTTGTCTTGCTGTAGCAAACCTCGGTAGGATTCAGGGACTCTTCAATGCTTCCAATGTTGGTTAATTGCAATTGTTCACCAATACACTGACATTTCAAATTCCTATATAATAACAAGCTACATCAGTAACTGAACCTACTGATGGCATTTACGAAGTCATCTTTTCTGTTATTTTGTTTCTCAAGCTGCTGCTTATTCTCATTAAGAACTCTGGATCCTTTTTTTAAGTGCTTGAAGGAGAATGTTTTAATAAGTCTATGTACTGGCGACGTCGCACTTCGTGTATATGTGCACTTTCCTGTGGAACTAGTGAGCTTCCATTCCATTGAGGAAGAAATTCCTGTCGTCAAGGGGTTAAAAAACATGTACTCAAAGATGACTTCATTTACAGAAAAACATGACACAAAAGCAAACAATGCCCTTGTTTATTTTCCCCCAAAATGTTCATTTATTGGTAAAAATTCCACATCATCTTTAATCAAACTAAATGCACTACATATCAATAAATCCCTAAAAAATATCCTACTACTCATTGATATAATTCCCAAGGGCATAGATTTGTTCGCCAACTTGGGGTGAGATGATGTTGAATTGAAAGTGGCTTGAAAGCTCTTCTTTCGCCAGATAATTCAAGAAGTAATGATTAAGGATAAAGGGGAGAGCACTCTGCTAAGGGCTGAACAGATTTTGCCCCTTGATACTGGCTCAGTTTGTGGTGAATTGCATCTTCAATTATGGCTTTAAAAAACAACTAAAAACACCAAGCATCAGTTTCACTTCAAACAGTTACACACTAACAAATCAGGAGCAATTAGGGGCAACCTAGATCAAGGACCATAATTAACCATAGTTGGACTAACTGATTGAACGTAGGTTAGTCAACGATGGTTGGACTAGTCTAGTTAACTATTCGCAACCAGCCTATCGAGGTTGGTAGCATCGTTGGTTTGCCACAAATCGTTTTTAATAGCACAGTGCAGAGAGGACCAGTTACAAGAGTTATGCTGGGAAAACAGTAAGTCACGAGTAAATGATAATTTTCACTTTTATTTTTTGCTATTTTGCCCTTCCTGCGGCCACCTTTTCTCCCATTTGACCTGACGACCTACCAACGGTTGACTAGGGTCGTTCGCACTGTAACTTCACTGCACATGCACTTGGTGCGTCGCAAACCAACCACTAGTTAACTAGCGGTCCTTGCTCGAACTGGCCCTAGGGTTCTTCCTGAATGTTGTTGGGTTTGTTTTCCTATGAACATATATTCTTGGTAAATTTGTGAGTTAGAAGCCCTCAAAAGTAAGACTAAAATGGAATTCCTGAAGTTGGGGTCTTAATTAAACTTTGAACAAAATTAAAATTTTCTAACCTACATGTGCCAGCGCACCACAGGACAGCATAAGGGAAATTAGCTATCAGTACCATACAAAGACCAATTAATATAACTAGTGCAATACACGACTATAACATTTTACGTCAAATGGCCCAAGAAGTAATTTCAGTTTAAAATGAAACCTCCATCCCCAAAAAATCAGTGTGGCCTTTTTAAAAAGTAATACAGTACTTACAGAGACTAATGGATAAACAATAAATTCAATAACTACTTGAAGAATTATGTTCTTTCCATCTTTATGTTTCATCTTCTTAAATATGTACATTTGCGACTGGAACTAGTAAAATTCAACAATAAAAATATAACTGTGATTTATCTTCAATACCAATATAAGTCCTTTTTTAATAATAATTCAAAATCTATTGTAAAACACGTAACAGTGAACCATCTGGAACGGCCACAGATGATTTTCAAATAATGAATTGTTCCAATAACAAAGGTGTTCTGATCATGTGAACGTATATATATAAAATGTATATAATGCTATAACTATTCCCCCCTTCTAATTTTCTTCTTTTTGGTAGTGGGTGTCACACCAATGTGCACGTGATCTTTAAGGAGCAATTTCCAGCTAAGCTTTAAAGCACAGTTTAACTCAAGATAATATCAATTATTATCACTTATGAAAATCCCACTGTCTACCAGAACTTCTTTGAGTAAGCCTTTTGAACAACGAAACAGCATTTACAAATAAAACCACTATGTGACTCAGATTTCACTTGAGGGTGTCTTGGCCAGCTTCAAACACTAGACAGACACCTTGACCATAAGCTTCGCATACCCTTGGACGTTTTTGGATTATTTGACGTAAGCAATGACTATGTGCTAGCACTTTCTCTACTCTGTTGATGACATACGGACCCATAGAGAACACGACTGTAGGGGAATTAACACAGGGATGTAGGTTTAAGTGTGAGGACTGCTACATTGTTTTCCGACGCAGTGCTGGATTGGGGAGGATTCTGGGAGGAGACTTGAGTTGCAAGGAATTGACTTGTGGAGCTGTGTCTGATTTGACTGGCTGCGGGTTGGAGTCACATGCACGTCTATGGGAATCGGCTCAGGGCACCAGCCAGTGATTTCAATGGGCACACATATCCAGCCGCAGCCAGGGAAATTCAGGACATGGCTTACGATAGGGTTGCAATATTGATCGTGACCTGTCAGAGGGTGACAAAATGGGAGGGGGAGCAAATGACGCCCTGGACAGTTGGCAGTCTTCATTACTCGCCGAAGGACACCCTGACCATCGGCTTGACGACCCCGTTCAGGAAGAACTCCCGTTCCAGGTCCGACAGCATGTCGAAAGGCCGCATCTCCTTGCAGAATCGGCACTCCATACTCGCCTGGGGCAGGGGCTGGGACGGACCCAGCACCAAGCCACACTCTGTCCACGCAGTCCTCAGGGCCTGCACAAACTCGTCCATCATGGCCGAGGTGTGGAAGGGTGTTGGGGCGATGCGCAGCCGCTCCTCCCCACGGCCGACAGTGGGTGGGTTGATGGCCTGCACGTACATGCCATAATTGACCAGCAGGTGGTTGGCCACTTGGGTGGACTTCTCAGCATTACCGACCTGTAGGGGCCACGGGCAAAAAGTAAGTGCAGGAATATGTTTTAAACCCGCACTCTGTTTATATGTACATCCTCCAACAACTCTTCAAAGTTCACTCCCCCATACTGTCCCATGCTTTGCTGAATTACACCACAGCAGTTGACGTAATGCCAAGCACATTTGTTGATACACAAATGGCACTCGGCAGTTCACTCCATTTGGAGTCTTTGCTGGTAAGGCGTGGCGTCCAAAGTATGTTGGGTGGAGGGAAGCGGCACAGTTAGCTGACAGGCTCAAAATTACACCTATAGGGTGAGTGTCAACATCTACTCTATCATTACATTGATACACAGTTCAAATGTACAGGTAGATAACATCTGCAAAGCTGGAATTGAAAATTACAAATTGTTTGTAAACTTTCATCACCAACTACATCAGTCGCTGAAGTAGAGATAAACCATCTTGACAACACCATCGAATACTCAAGAGCCTATGCTTTGTAAAGGATGTAGTTTGACAGTTGCAGTTTCTTTATACAGTAAAAGGTGAGGAAAAATAGGGAATATCCAAGGCCCAACTTCAAAACTGTGGACCCCAGCAAATTAAAGTGACAGAAAAAAGCTGGTTAACTCACATGAATGGGAATGATATGGCTGGGGCAGTCAATGACGGGCAAGCCGGCTTGGGTGAGTTTGTAGCGCATCTCTTTCACTGACTCCTGGTGGCGAGCCCGCAGAGATCGCCCTTCCTCGCTCCTGAGCACCTGACACAAGAGGCCAATGAAATTCAAACTTCAGTGTAACAGTGAACAGACCACGAGGGCTTACTTGTGAAATCTGCGGAGTTCATGACAAGCTTTGGCCAGACATCTTGGCGTCTTTCGTGCATCATGTACACCATTTTGGACACCCTGTTTTGTTAAAGAAATCCATGTACGTGTGGGAAAAGTCAAACCTTAGAAACTTGGACCCCCTATGTTTCACTTCAAGGCTGCGTACATATCTCGTAGCAGTATTCTCTTTTTATGGTCCCTACTGTCAACTTACCTCAATAGATGCCATGGCCCCGGCTAGGATCATGGGAGGTAGTGCTGTGGTGAAGATAAAACCAGCGGCGTAGCTACGCACCATGTCAATCAGGTCCGAGTTACCCGTGACGTAGCCACCTACCATGCCGTAAGCTTTACCTGATAAAAAAAAACCAAGCGGCAGGGTAAAAAATGTTGTAACACCCAGTGCACTGTCCCGCAAACACCTGCTAAGAGTATATATCAAGACTGCAATGTTAAGAAGTCTACAGCCCTGAGTTGTGTATGCACTGCTGTGGGGTTAGTTGCAACAGAAAGCTCATTTAAAGTCACTTGAAAGAGTGTACGCCACTTCAAACTTTGGGCATGCGCCTTGAAAGACAAACGAGCTATAATGGGAGATGCAACCCGACAGGTGCAAATAATTGGTTGCAACCAAAGATCATGGCTCCGTCCCAAACTGCGAGGCCAGGAAATGTAAACACACCCCTTGCACTAACGGCCTCTCTAAGTGATCATTTTGAGGTTGTGACTGATGATGACCTGAAGCACATGTCACATTGCACGATAATTTGCAGGGCGAAAAGGAGGTTTGGTGTAAACGGACCACAAATGGTCAAGTTACGAGCACATCAGCTCAACTGAAATTCTCAGACATAGGTTTGCGTAACTTGTGGGTGGTGAGGTTTGCCTAGTGAAGTTGTTGTCCAAAGTCTCCTCCCATGGTTGGGAGCCAGTGAGTTAAGAAGTCTACTTAAAGTAACGTCATTCTTCTCTGAAGAACTGACGAACTTGACATGGCAAACAACGCACTACATGCAGCCTGAGGAAAAGCTAGCAGAGCACACTGTGTTAAAAATGTCAATGTCACCTTTCTAGAGCCATCCGACTTACTGAAGAGACACGGACGGGGTGCTACCTCACACTACTTACACTCGTTAAGCACTTGTTGCAAACTGTGAAACCGCAGAGACGTTGGAACATACCTAGAGTACCGGATATGATGTCTATGTCATCCAGGCAGCCGTCTCGCTCCGCAACCCCAGCACCGTGATCGCCATACAACCCCACAGCGTGGACTTCGTCCACGAACGTGATGGCTCCGTAGCGGTGGGCTACGTCGCACAGCTCCTTCAGTGGGGATACGTCACCTGAAATCATAAAACATAACAACAGTTCCATTCAGCAAATGTGCACTCGGACATTTTCAGTGCTGTAGTGGAGTCTGTCAACAAGTTACAAGCCCTTTCACAAAACCTGTCATAAGTAGCGGGGTGAACTAACAAGCGCTTTTGTGAAAGTTCATTTGAATAACTTGTGATTTGATGTGGAAATACTGCAACATCAGTTTCTGACTTGTTTCAACATTTCAAAATCTCAATCTACAACTGAGCTATTAGAAAAAGTGGCATTTTGATTTTATGGCCAGAAAGGTCAGTACGTTATGCAAGTTGCAAATCTTTAACCCTAACCCCCTAGGGTGTATGTAAAATCATACTGAAATTGGAGGATTTGGGACTGTTAGGGTTAATGCTCCAGCATGCAACTAAATTCAAAATTACACAGCTATTAAGGAATGTACAGTTCAAGATGTACACGTGTACATGTATGTGTGAAGTCGGTTCCTCATGCCTGGTAAATGTGACAGAGTGCACCAATGGTCAAAGGCTGTTATACGCAGTTAAATGTAGCCTTCGATGCAAATTGCGGGGCTCACTGTGGGAGTACACAGAGATAATGCTGCGGTTTATTTTGTCCACGGCGGACAGTGCCGTGTCACAAGCTCAGGTAGGGGGCACCCTGCTCACCGGTCATGGAGTGAACCGTCTCAAAGGCTACTATCTTGGGCTTGGAGCGATCCGATTTCTGCAGCAACTCCTCCAGGTGGGCAACGTCGTTGTGCCGGAATATAAAGCGGGGCACACCGCTGTTGCGAATACCTTGGATCATGGAGGCGTGGTTGCCTGAGTCCGAGTAGATGGCACAACCTGACAGAAAAGGCACTTCTAATTAGTTCCTATTTCAATTTTCAAGCCAGTAAGCTTTCCTCTTTTGGCATTTCATCAGAAAAATGCGAGGTTGACATGTGTAACAAACTGCAAAATTCTTTCACTTTGTGTGAAAAGATGTCAATTACTATTCATTAAAATGTTAGTCCTTTTCTATTATATCCTTATTTTCTAAATTAGTAGATCTTTAGTGAAATGCTGAGGTTTTTCTTGTACTACAAATGGCAACTGAAGTAAACAGCTACCTGAATGGGTGGTAGGAACAACCCTTGATGGTTCATAAACCAGACGACACGTTTACCCGCTGATGCTAAAAATATTGCTAATTAAGCACAAAAAAAGAGCACTAGCAGTGAACCTTAAAGCATATTTTGGCCAGTAAATTGGATTCTAAGATTTTGCTTTATTTCACAAATGTTCCCCATGTTGACAAGTTCAATTATCTCAAGTTACATGTTCTACACTTTGGGCTGATTGAAAAACCAGTTCGATCAAATGTCTTTTTCACCCCTTTGAAAGTAACATTCATCACGGCACAAGGTGTGGTACCTGGTAGGGACTTGGCAAGGGTGTAGAGAGTTGAATCGTTTGCCACAAAGCAGGAGGTGAAGAGCAGACCGGCCTCCTTCCGGTGCAGCGTGGCCACGGCAGCCTCCAGCTGCTCATGGTAGGTGGAGTTGCCCGATATGTTACGAGTGCCGCCCGCCCCGGTGCCGTGCTTCTCAATGGCTTCCCTGGAAAAAGACAACAGGCTCAAAGGGTGACTCCACGGACAAAATAACCCTAGACAGACTTTAGTCAGCAATACAGTACACTGACCGGCACGATCTGATTATGTAGGTCTCAATAGGACTGTACATGTAGGTTACAGTACGATGTATGCAGCAGCATATCCAATAGGGGGTGGGAGTGAGAGGTGAGGGGTAGGTAACTCCCTCTCTCCGACATGTTGCTTTCTTTTAAGAAATTAAAGTGCCAACACTCTGAAAATGGAAGTAGCACATCCCTTTGAAGAGAGAGCATCCTTTTCACCGAGGAAGAAAAATCTGGACAATCATTTGATTGATGGGGAAAAAAATTCCCTCTGTACTGGACTCAAAACCTGGATACTTTCCAGGTTCTATCCAAAACGCTTTATCAGTTATAAGGGGCACAAAAAGACAAACTGTTTCACAAAATCACGCACAAGTACTTAATGAGTTGTGAAGGACAGAATAGAGAACAATTTCGGAGATTTATTTATTGCGAACTTAAGTACACGGACACTTCTCCTAAACTACAATTAGGACTCATTTGTTGGTGCATAAATTATTTCTTCCCGTCTTGAATGTCTCGTTTCTACAAAAAAATGACACAGACCTACAGATGCTTTTGTCTAGCAGGTTCACTTGACAAATTGAAACACGTCATCAGTGTTGATTTACCAATGTATGCACAGGTGTGCAGACAAATGGCAGGATTTTTCTGCGTTCTTATTTGATGTTAAAAGAAAGAAAGATTTCATGGGCTTATTTTGAGCCAATGGCATGTTATCAAGTTTTTAGATATTTTATTCCCTTGGAATGACCATAAACCAACTGCATGCAGGAATATTTAAACTGAAATTTCTTTGTGTTGAGTTACTTTTATATAAATTTCCAACAGCAACGCCATATGGTTGAGTGCCTTTCCCCATATGCAGAAAACACAAAGTCCTTTAAAGTCCAACACTCTCCACAAAACAATATCACTATCCCTTGAGATTACATTCAAGCTGTGATCACAGTGTCCACTCTCTTGACACCCCACAATGATCCTTGATGATGATTGTGAATAAATGAGATGGCTAGAACACAAAAATGCCTGGTGCGGAAATGAAAAGCAGAGCCATGGAAACTGAAGGTCAACAAGGCTGCTTGATATGCTAGCGAACCGCTGATGAATTCTGTTTCAGTTCTTCTGCCGGTAGGCCCATAAGGTATTACTGGATTAATTATCATCAAAATGAAAGACAAAACCAATTATTACTGCAGAAGAGAGGAAAAATTTCAGTAGATACCGTAAGTCATGTGCATGATATAAACCCTGTACTTCGTTACTGTACAAAAGGTTGGATGACTTCCAGAAACAGACCTATTGGGATCAATCTTTGGGTATTTAATCTGAAAGATTAAAGAAAATTTCTTGAAGGAGGAAGGAAAGTTTTACTGCGGTTAGATTGGGGAAAAATCACCAAAAAATCCAGCAAAGGGGTAGGGACAACGACCAAATAATTAAATACTGTCACTTTGAGGGCTTTTGATCACAAGGAATCAGTTCTGAGAATTATAACAAAATCCGACTGATAATCCAGAACAGGGGACAAGAATCCAAGGATCTGGACAAATACTGAGAAATCGCACCCATGAGTTTAAAACAGTAGAGTTAAGTCAATTCAAATAATTCACTATTCGAAGATTCAACCTTCAATTCGATCGAATATCCAAATATTCCGTCATACGGACCAGCAGATTGTTGATGAACAAACCATACACAAAATCAGTTGCACTACGCACACAATTGTACATTATGATCAAAATAATAGATTCTCACATCTAGGAGAATCTCCAGCCACACTTTAGCAAGATGAACAATACTTCTGGCCATGTTGTAAATTAATTTTCTATTCCTTTTAAACTGTTTCATGAATAATTTACTTTTTGAATCACTGTAAGACTTCTGTTGCTTTTCATTTGCATCTGCTTGAAACAAGCCTCAATAGTGCAATGTTTCTCATTTCAACCAAAGAAAATGTTTCCTTCCTTTTCATGAATTTTGCATTCAAATGTTTACCCTAACTCCCTAGGGTGTGTGCAAAATCATATTAAAATTGGAGGATTCAGGGCTGTTAGGGTTAATTCGAAAAATAATATTCAAATATTTGATAATTTTTGGTTATTTGGATATCAGCCCTATAAAACAGAAACACTCAGATCTCTTTGTTTTTGACAGGGGGACTGAAAATTTGAATTAAAAAGAAAAAGCTGGGAAATCCCAAGGTGCAATTGGTCAATCTGGAGAGGTATGAACAGAGATTAGAGTTGACGGGTTTATACTCCTTCCTCCACACCCCTAAGAAGCTGCCTTATCCCCTCCCAAGTTGAGCCAAGCTAAGCACTGACCCATGGACCAAAAAAAAGGCCTCAGCCCCCTTTCCAATTCTGGGCTTCATCTTCCATTTCAACCTCATCTTCAGCTCATGAGTTTACACCAAAGTAACTGGTGCCCAGATCTCATGGAAATTCACCTAGCCTCATACTGAAGACTTGAATGCGTCTGAAACAACAGACAGGCGTATTGAGCCACACTGACCCAAGACTGTGAGTCCAAAAATCTTCTGGAACTTCTAACGGAAGACTAAAGACGTAAGGTACAAGGCATGCACGGAATGTTCGTACTGAGGACAGGTGCTTTGTTCCTGTGTGATGTGCATGAGCAGACCTTTTGTACTTCCACGATCATTGGATTTACATTACAAAAAGTCCTCTATGAGGGCGTTCCATGCAGCCACGACTTCTACGAGTCAAGGTGTGGGGAAAACACCCCCCTCACCCACAATACTGACTCACTTGACAGCTTCCTTGACCTTGGGGTGCCTGCTCATGCCCAGGTAGTCGTTGCTGCACCAGACCGAGATGGGTAGCGACTCCTGGCCACCGCCGGGGCAGGAGTACTCCTCAGCATAGGGGAAGGATTCAGCGATGCGGTTGACCTTCTTGAAGATGCGGTAGGTGTGGTCTCGCTTCTTGGCCTCCACCTTGTCATGCAGGAACTTGTTGTAGTCAAAGGTGCCGTTGTCTGGGAGGAGCAGAGGAGGAGAAAAACATGTCTGACCTGTTTTCTGGGTAACAGAGTGCATTTTCTCTTCAATCTCACAGAGAAGCAAAACTTAACCTTCATACTCATTTTCACCTTTTCGTCTTTATAAAAAAAAAGCGCATAGGCCTTCAAAGATGAGATCAAAACTGACAGCCGTCAAAGGTGGCAAAGCGTAACATTTCAGAGGCTACAGAGACAAAACTGTATCCCAGATGAATCCAGTCAAACTTCGTCGATAAGAGCACTAAGAATACAACATTCTGCTTTAAACAAGGAAATTTGTTGGTCCCAATCCTTTGTTTCTATTCCTGACAAAGTTCCTGTTATAACAAGTTAATTTGCCGAGTCCCAAGGACCTCTTATTAACGAGGTTCCACTGCATATGGATGCTCCTACATTATGTATGCTTTATGTCCTTAACAAATAATTCACTGGATGATTTCTGCGGATGCACTTGCTCACATTGACCAAACAAAAACAAAACAAAAATGCAATTTCAACTCTATCTGCACATTAAATATATAAAATGGTAGCACAAATGACAAAACGCAGCATGACACAAGAATGGAAAATGTGCTACATACCTTTGAGAAAGTCTGCAACGTCTTTGCTGACAGCCTTATCGGGCTTGACAGGCGTGGCCTTCACAACTGGGGGGGGGGCAAGACAAATGAATGACGTTTATTGTCAGTTCTTTTACCGTTCTCATCACATGCATTTTACAATCACCATCACACCACAGTATGTTCACAGCTCTTGTCTGAGTTATGTACGGGAGTCACCTTGGCGTGGTGCTTTTTTCCTTTTCCTTGCCTTTCGCCTCTGCGGCTCCGGTTTGATTCCCGGCACACTTCACATGTGGACGGGGTTTTCCGTCCCAACCCAGTTCCGTGGGTTTTACCCAGAATATTCTTCTGGGGTTTTCCTGCCACCCCTAGAACTGTAACTCAGCGACTTCTTAATGTCTCTCCTCTTCAGGGTTCTTCTGGCTTACGAGCTACAGTGCCTTGGGTACTTTTGAGGAATCTTTGGTTCCATTACAGGAAAGAATAAAGTATCATGTATTTTTGAAGTTGTTTTTCTTTTCCATTCCCAACGATGTGAGTCAGGGAACTGCAAATGTTCTCTAATCATTGCATTTCAAAGAATAATAAATCTTCCCATACACTGCTCCCTCCAAATCAATTATGGAAAAATTATTTCACACAAATTTGCTACTTCAGTTCACATTCCAATGTCACTTGTCGAAATCTTGCCGTTCGCATTTGTTGAATAGAATATAGATTGTGTGCATGTGTCTGTACAGTATCATACTGTCATGGCCGTGTATAAACACAACATGGGCATTGATATTCTGAAAGAACATTCCACCGTATGTCATGGACTTTTCCCTGCGTCTGAGTAATCCGTTTGTGGACGCACAGAAAAATAACCAGGACGGAATATCAACAAGCAGTCACGGTAACTTTTTACATTTTTTAGTCCAGTGCAAATGCAGCTTTAGGACTCACTCGGCCGGATCAGGTCACAATTTCTAATTTCCCTCAGGGGGGCAGCTAAAAAAATGGTTTAGACTTCTACGAGGTTTTCGCTTGATATTTTGAACGTACAGGTGACAGTAATTCCTCCTGCCCAGGTGAAATTCGATAATCAAATCGTTGATGATATTATCCAAGAAGGCAGGGACGGTCAGATCCTGAAAATTCAATTAATCACCCAGAATCAGTCCCATGACATTTTGCCATTTATCTCCAGATTAGTCTCACAGTGAACCCCTAGCGACTTAGTATGTGTGTATATGCGTGTGTGGGTGTAGGGAGTGTGGGCAGAGATTTTGTGTCTAAAAATTCTGGAGAAAAGTGTACTCATCCCGAGAGGTCAGTGCTTTCGTCTTGGGTTTCACTGCCTGACCAAAAAAAACCAGATGCAGAATGGGATACTGGAATTGGAAAAACATGCGACAAAAGTAGTTGCTTTTCATCGTCTGGGTATTTTTTTAGGTTGAGACCACTAAAATACATCTGCATGTGGGCCTACAGGTAGACCTTCCAATATTAGCCAAGCAGATGGAGAGGCTACCACCATGTTTAATCTAATGCCATTTCGAGTGGTTTGATTGCTTCTACATGTACAGGTACCAATAGCAGAAATTGCTTTTCCCACAAGTCAATGCTAGCAACGGTGAAACCAATGTATTAATTGGCGAGTACACAGGAATCCTGCGATAGAATGTAGGCTTGGTTCAGAAATGTACATAAAATGAAGTCTCCGTCCATAAAGGCAGATGCTGTTTTATTCTAAGAACTATTCTACATGTACTGTACATGTACACGGTAGCTCTTAAAATTATGACCAATGAATTCCAGGACAAGCTTGACAAAAACTCAGATGGGGGTTCGCAATTATTTTATGGTATTATACCGGTACACATCTCAAGATCAGTTATGCAGCCTAAAATAAAGATACAGCATAGTGAGTAACTTTCTATTACGTGCAGTCTGGAAGTCATTGTACTTTAACTGTGTTCTGCATATGTGCGCACCATGGCAAGTTTTAATGAGGCAAATGCAATTTTGAGCAAAGGAAATAAAAGGGGTACTTTTGAAGATCATTTACGTGTAAAAATGAATACTAAATTAAGGAAACTTATCCTTGAGATCAGCGACCACAACCAGATTTTCAATTCAGTGTGAAGCAAAATCTCCCCCTTACTGGTAGGTTGTTATATGTCGCATTGCGTATATGTCGCATGGAATAAAACTGATGAGCAAAGGCATACAGCTGTTCATGGGTGCTCAGTGCGGGACACCAGCAACGTCCAAGTCAGTCTCTCGGTCATGTCTGAGGGAGCACTTGCAATTTTTTTTTTTCATGCAGCTTCATCATCATACCAAGATTGGGCTGTGCAAACAGATTCTCTGTTTTTTTGGTAAACAGACACTGCTCACCATTGCCAATGCTCACTGAGCCTGGCGTGCCAAGACCTGGCTGGCCAGCTATCATTGCTGTGGGGATAACTGGAGATCTTTACCTGTCTCCTTGTCCGATGAGTCGATGAGGTCAGAGTCAATGATGCGGGTCAGCTTCTGCGTTTCCTCCATGTTGGCAAGGAATGGGCACTTGCTGGCATTGCGGGGCGATGGAATAGTACCTAGGAAAAAAAAAGTGAAAATGGGAAAGTGTTCTGAGTATAGAATGCTGTTTCCAGGATAAAAACGGATAAAAATTTATAAGCAAAGACCAAAGTTCACATTTTGTATGTGGCTGCTAAACAAGAAGTTTTGCCAAGCACAAAAAAATTTCCTTCCCAGTAATAAGTTATAATTGGGGAAACAAAAAATTTTAGAACAATTGAGGTCTTGGAATTCATTCCTGCTTGGCAGTCAAATACAATACCAAATAGTATCTTCTTGAATGTACATTCTGCACAAAAAATGGTTTCATTTGCTCAAGTGTTTCCAAGTTTTGTCACTGTTGAGAACAAATCTCTTCTCTGCACATACATTTTGTTCGTTTTAAAGAATAAAAGAGTCAGTTTTGAGACTCAAAAGAACACAGCATCACCACGCAATTTCTGTTCAAAAGGAATTTAAACATTTATTTCTCCAAAACATTTTAGCATTTAGCATTTAATAAATGTCACGTAAGAGAGTACTTAAGAAACTTCTCCAAATATTAATAGATTTAACGAATGCTACATGTACGTAAAATGTACACGTACATGAACATGTCGCAGTACCATCATGCCATTAACGTTTTGCACTTCAACTATGCAAGAGGATATTTTCAAAGATAATATGTACAAGGAAAATATGTGGGTATATAAACACACAAATGTACATGACAGTGCAGCCTGCGGCCGGATCTGTATGCTGTGTTCATCCTTGGGCATAAATTTTCATTTTTTCCACCACCTCCAAGTTGTGTATTTTCTAGTGGGTCAAGAAACAATAAGTTTCCTTCGTTACATACCAGTACACGTCCTCCACATTTTTCAAGGCTCATCATTTACATACATGTACATGTACATGCATTGCTGGGGCTATAATGTGGATGCACAATTTCGAAGACATGGACATGTAGAATGCTTGGTATTCAGTAGTTTGTCTGATCCTAGTTCCAAAAATTGCACTTCACTGAAACAACAAATGTGAGGGTGAGAACTGTTGCCAAAACTTTCAAAATTTAAAATTAGGGAACACTAGAGCGTACACACACATGTACAGTGCACATACACATGCACGCATGCACTCACTGTCCCACACTGACTACACTGTACGTGTAATCCCAAAATGTGTGAACACAAAATGCATTTATGATTTGTCCTGGCTGCCACCATGTCAAGATTCATCAAGCCGGTCAACATGAGGAAAAAAAGGCTGCATTAAAACCCTCCCTTTGTTGTAACTGTCAAAAAACAGTCAAAAATTCCTTCCACTTGATTTCCCCCACTACACAGACACATATGGGAAATTTTACTGGTTTTGACTGATAGGACAACTGGTTCAAGAATGTGTCTTTACATAGGAAGTTTTAATTAATTAAACATTTCTCGGACCACGGATACTACCGTACATTTCTATACATCTATGAAAGAGACTACTTTGCAGGTTCATGTACAGGTATTTACAATGTTAGTACAATGAGTCGGTGAATGTGAAGGTTTGTTTTGTTTTCATGGGGGGGTTGGGTTTGAGTTACAAATTTGATTTTGGTTAGGCTCTTGGGTTAGGTCGGAGTTTTGGTTTACATTGAAGGTTGGACTTTAGGGTTAGGTTGGAGGTTTTTCTTTTGGAGTATTGGTTTAGGTTGGAGTTTTGGTTTTAGTTTTGGTTGTATTCTAGACATATTTTCGGATTGCTTTGGTTTTAGTGTGGCTTTTGGTTCAATGTTAGCCTGTGCCTTCTCTCACTGAATCCTTCTGCACAAACGGAAGCAAGCAGGGATAGAAAGCACAGGCTATCATGTAAACCAAGGGCTATTCTTTTAAATTTGGGTACCCCGTTTATTTTACTACAACTACTTATTTTGAAAGGACCAGGTGAAAGGAAAATCTCAACAGGGTGCCGTTTGTTCGCACTCGGTTTCCAAATCCTGTCTAGGTTCCCTGCAGCTATACTTATTGTGCCTGTATTAAGGTGCCTTTGTAAATCTTCTACCACAAAGGTTGCTAACTCATTCGGGTGTGACCCACGAAGGCTCGCACCAACGTCATCCATACTTCCTGGTACAATGGACCCAAGAGAACATGTACATGTACATTGTACATGAACCGGTACTGTAGACCACGCTGGTACCCTTATACAGGTGTTGGTATTTCCTCAAAACCCATGTGCATGTAGATTTTTTTGATTTACATACGGTAACTAATCACTTCCTCAAAATGGAAGCTTGGGTAATGGCAAACTGTACATCGATGCAATCATACCGTTCAGTGTGCAATTGATACTCGTACGTGTATTTTACAGCATTGTCACTGAAACATTTTGCCAAATCATCATTACAAAAAAAGAAAACATGGTTTCAACCTGGGGCGAGACTGCACTGCGGCCAGCTTTGCAGGTACATACATGTACATGTATGCTATGCACTATGTACATGTACATGTACATTGTAAATTTCTTCAAATAATAACACAATTAGCATACCAGTACACACTGTACAAGCATTTTTAATGTCTATTTTGGTTTATGTATACTAACTGCAACACAGCCTTCAGGTACATGTAAATGGCCAGCTGGTAAATGACACCATTTTTTTTAAGCTTGACCGATGGAAATTCATGACCAAGAGTCACGGTATAACTGTACTTGCAGTCAATACCAGTAGTTCCAAGCAATTCAGAACCCAAACTTAGATATTGGTATTGGTAAGGAAGGTCATACATGTAAGTTTCAACTGAAATTCATTTTAGCTTTCTTTCCTGCCTCTTAACCAATGTGTAGATGACACATTGGTCAACTCTGTTCACACTCACTTCATTCATTTCATTCATTCATCAACTTCATTTCATTTAATCATTACTTGTTGTTGTGCCCCGCTCTAGCCTGGCAGAAATTCCAAGTGATTGCATGATATTGCACAAAGAATGACTTTTAAAAGCAAACTCGAGAACCAACCGATGTGCCCTTTGATCTACACAAATACTGTACATGTAGAATATAGGGCATAGTTCATCCTGGAAAGATCTCAAGCACAAACCTGTTATCTGCACTGACCATGCTGTGAACCCTGTTTGCTCACGCAACTTACATGTACGTGTAGGTATCCATCAACTCTTTTCAATGATCACACTTTTCTGTGACTGTCAGCCTTATGCTAGTGGCCCTCACCCATCATATCTGAGAGTTCTGTCACGGGGAAAAATCTCTGCATTTTGAACTTCCAAATCTCTCATATTTTTGTTTTGTTACTGTTGCTTTGATTTTGGTTGTCTCATCTTATTTTGTTCCAATTTCTGCATTTTATTCCTTGTTTTTTTTTTCTAGGACACCTTGATGTACCGTGCATACATGTCGTTCATATTCCTTCCGGGATGTACAGCTTTGCCATGTTCTGTACACTCACTTGGTTTGGTAATAAATCATTGCTGTACACAGTACACTCACTCGATTTGGTCCTAAATCGTTGCTGGGCTCCACTCCAGCCTGGCAGAAATTCTAGGTTATCACATATTGTACTAAGAATGGCTTAAGTAGACTGAAAAAACCAACCGCTTGTGCTGCTGTACCCTTTGATCTATATAAATATAGGGAATGATTCTTTTTGAGCAGATCTTGAGTATATGTACAAAGTATTATTTGCATTGACAATGGGGTGAACACCCTTTGCTCAAGCAACCTGTAGGTGCTGTAGGTGTCCATCAATTTATTTCAGTAATGCACTTTTCTGTAACAACATGTACCTGCGTAATGCTGATGGCCATCTTCCATTTTCATTTTAGAGTTCTGTCACTGGAAAAATTCCAGCTTTTTTGTTTGTATTTTGTTTTTCTCTTCATTTTGCTCTTGGTTTTTTTTCTTCTTCTTATTTTTCCCATAGGAAGCAATGATGTAATTTATATTTCTTCTGAGATGTACAGCTTTTGCACAGAACTAACAATGGTCACTTGTCCAAAAGTTACGGCTGTGGCTGAATCTAACACATTTATATGGCAGCCACTGACTTGTGGCTACAGTCACTTGCAACAGCTGCACGGGTTAGAGCTGGCCGTAGCCACTCGATTTGGACACAACCTAAGCAGACCAACAGCTGGGCTGTTTTCTGGTCACATTGTTTGTGCTCATGCTAACCCCCACTGGGATACATGTACCAATACAACATCATGGTCAGTGCTATGAGCCCATGCAGAGACGCTGACAGTCTTTGTTTTTGCCACCTTGAATTTGTTCTCTACATCATTAATGTCTTCAGGAAATGTCGACTGAAACGTCCGCTGAGCATGAAAATTGCAAGTGACTAACAAAGGGCTCACGCATTTGGGTAATTCCAGAAATTTTAGGGTCCATTTTTTCTGTGTCCCTGTTACATCCGACATATGTTTTGTAAGTTCAGAGCACATTTTCTGATTTCCAAGAGCGATAACTTAATGCAATTTACCTGCCAAACAAATAGTAATAGTTTGAAAACAATTTCGGTGATATTTCCATGTCAAATTACAAAGGTCAGATGTAACAGGGACATCAAAATGTCACACTTTTGGACCCCTACTTTCTGGAATTATGCGCTTGGTAGTTAGCCTCTAAGTCCAAGTCTGAGGAGACTGGTTCTGAAAATGCATATTGTACATGTACATACAAAAAAAATCTGAAAGTTTTCCCATTAGCTGTAGGAGTACGCTACGTGTATACGAACCCCTCTCCCCCCAAAATAGGCTGTATTCATGTGTCAGCCATCTTGAACAGAAAGTGAGGTTAAACTTTTCATTATGGGAAAATGCAAGCAAAAACAACAGTGACAAGATAAACATTTCATACAAGTTTATGCCAGTTTCTGTGAAGAATAATTTTGAAATATGCGATAAATTATATCTTGAACCCTAACGGTCCTCAATCCTCCAACCGGTGAAGACTTGAGGACTGTTAGGGTTAATATTTTAAGCAACGTTTTTTGTAAAAATGAAAGTGAAGATGGAAAGTTAACCCAAAATAGTCTGGCATCACTCCATTGAATTGGACAGATTCAGCAGATGTGATTAAAAAGAAATTGCGTCCCTGTGAAAAAGGTCATCAAGGTTCCATACATGTATGTATGGTCCCCTGCTGTACACGTAGGTTCACCCCTGAATAATCATCAATGTGTTCACAGCCTTGACTGTCTGAACTCTACTTTGGGGAACATCAGTCCACCTTTAGGCATTTACGAAAAATAATTCTTTTTAACATGACAAAGGAACCAGTTGAGAGTTTACAGAGTTTGGATTCTTCCACTATTACAGGGTTTGGATTCTTCCATTATTTGAATAGTGGAAGAATCCAAACTCTGTAAACTCTCAACTGGAATTTTTCCGTAAGTCTTGGAGGACTGATTCCCTATGACAAGTTTTGTCACACTAGATACAACAGCAGAAAAAAGTACTCAAATTGAACAGAACCGACTCTTTTTAAAGTTACTCTACATGTGTAACTCTAAAACTGTGGACATCACTGGCACATATCACCCCCCCTTCTTGATGCAAGTGCTGATTTGAAACTTAGCTTTGCACAGCATACCGGTACATGTGCATGTAGTCTGAACAGACTTCGCGTGTAACATAGTTACAATATGTGTTTCAAGGACTCAAGAATTAAAATGCTGTGACCGTAATTTACAATACCCTCATTCCGAAATTGATTCCATTCATGTTCTCTTGTGCTAATGTTTCTGCTACTGTTAGTCGGGGATACACTGCCATGCTGATTGCATCCTGGGGTCAGCTACATGTACCAGGAACATGTACATGTAATTCTGTAAACAATTGCAGTTTGCTTTCCTTTGAGTTCATAATTCTGATCATGTTCAATGTCTTGACAAACTGTTTGTGCCTTACCAGCTGCAGAAAACTTCTTTCTAAATAACATTTGGGCAGTGCATGTAACGAAGGACTAATAAAACACTGGCAAGTTCTCTTATCTGCCTTGGGAGATTGATTCTGATCACGCCTCACATCAGACCACTAAAATCAAAGGAAAAAAATTAGCAATATGTGACTTGTTCTCTTCTCAAGTTCAACATACCGTACAAATACATGTCCGTGTAACTCTAAATCACAGGTTAATTTTTGCTAGGTATCAGATCTGTTGACTCATGAAATCGCTTTAAAAGATCAAAGATAAAGCAGGCCTGGGGCACACAGAGGTTGTCTACCTCACAGGCCCTCGAACTAAAATGCTAGGCAGATCAAAATAAATAGTCCTGTCATTCCCCAAAAGATATATATATTTCACTGACATTTTTTCAGGGTTCATCTACTGTCAATTGGAGTGCACTGTCATGGTGATGTACGCTCTCCATGACACAAAGGGCAGTTGCTGTTTACATGTACATGTATGTTCCTTTGTACAGGTAGCATCAGTCTACTGATCAATAATGCCCCTAACAAACTGTGAGCGGTCGTACAGAGCTTTGCAAACCAACTGCAGTCTCCCTTTGACACGCAAGAAGTGAGCACAATAAAGGAAGCAAACATCTGACATTAACTGCTTCATCTCGGGATGTTGACTATGACGCCATTTGGAAAGAGCGCACAACAAAGGCCTAGCCCAAGCAAACTGTACATGTACATGCAAGCAATCCAATTGGCTCCTAGTGTCAAAGTCGTCAACTCTTTCACTATATACTGTACTTCAGAACTACAACAGCCTTTGAAGGAAAAGTATGACTTTGGGCTCTGAAATTCAACTGCCGAGAATGTCAAAATACAAAATATTGTCGACAAACTGCATGACTATAAATTTTAGCAAAATAAATCACATTTATTTTAATGATAGTAGAGACTTATAATTTATTTTTGCACTTTCAAATTAAATAGATAACACTTTATCACTACATAATATAAATCAAATGACAGTTTACATATGCAAAAGGAAATTTTGGTGTTAGAAAGCAAAATTCAATGGACAGTTGATAAGGAACATATTAAGAGAAACACAAACACTGATACAAAGTACAAAACAATCAGTGTGAATTCGAAAATGGTGTACAGTGTTTTACACACCTGTACGTATACACGTGCATGTTTGTCCCCTCTGACCAGGTATACAAAACACCATTGACAATGGCACATTCACAACAGACAACAGCATGTGTCATGCATGCACACTAGCCTCACCTTTTTCCTGCTCACTGTTGTTCTCCGGTTGGCTCTCCTTCTCCTCCTCCTCCACCTGCTTCTTGGAGGCGTGGCGGGCCAGCAGCTGGTTCATGACGGGGCACTTCTCGCTGTAGGTGAAGAGCGAGGTGCCGGCCCTCTTGGCAAAGCCCTGGGGCAGCCGGGACAGGAACGGGCATTTCAGGATGGCGAGGTGAGCCATGGTGCTTCAGCACTGCTGATCCGCTTCAGTTTGGTGCAGCTACAATTTCTGTGCAAAGAGGGATCAAAGGGAAGATGATAAGACCACCCAAAAGAGCAAACTTTTTTCAACACGTGGCCTCGCTTTACTCAGCATGTGACAAATGTGAGTCATAGTCCAACTGAAAACAAAAAATGGATTGTCCACATTGCACGCAGACATTTTATGTTCTCAAATCAATAATTATGAATAAACTGCAAGTACATGAACACTTGCGTGCATTTTTCTAGCCCTGATCACGGCGTTGAGCAATGATTTTGACAACCCCAGCTGTCGGGCCTGCTGTTCGTGCGTGGCGGAAACAATGCATGGTGTGTGGCGCAGTACCCTTCGCTGCAGCAGGTTTGCGTATAACACGTACGGTGCATTGCACAGTACGTTGGGACCGTTATGCTTTGCGAGTGAAAGTGACGCCGTTGCACCACTCTCAGCTTGCTCAGGTGCGTGCCTTGTCCTGGTCCGTAACCAACGCCTTGATGGTTCTGTACCGTGGCAACACAACTCATTACGCTAACGAAGGGCGCGCCCCTAGCAAGAAATGGGTGGTATTGGTCACAGTGTGTGACGTAACAATTGGAAGTGTTCCAAAATGTCACATCCGCAAAGGAACGCTACAATTGCAGCTCTTTCTGGAAGTGGAAGTCGTCGATTCCAAGTTTGTCTGAAGCAGTGTTGAAGGCTCCAATAAATTCTTCAGGTAATGTCATAATTTGACAACATTAGTCAGTTCATATAATTCTAGAAAACGTTGATTAATCGTACGTACATGTACATGTGTGTACTCATACCATGTGTACACATACTGTACATGTACAGGTACTAGACTGTACTACCGCAAGCTACAGCTAGCTGGTAACCATGCACCGCATACCGTACCCACACGTGCCTGCTTGATCGTGATTATTGTGTGGGGATGTTTATTCAATACTGCACCTATAATTAAAGAGGCTCACAATTGGTCCCCCAAAATGAATAATTTATATTTTTCAGGAAGCACTATTTACATGTATGTGATTGGCTCTAGAATAGCACTGAATTATTCATTATGGCATAACCACATACTGCTGAGCCCCCAATTTTCGTCCAAAAGTGGACAAAAAAACAAAGAAAAACATTAAACCCAGAAGATACAGACACAACAAATTGGTTTTTCAACTGGACATCATGCACACATACATACGTGGGGTTATGTACACGTACACACAAAGATGTATGCCGTGGCTCAGTTTTTAAGTTTTTGTAAGTCGGTGTACAGGGATCCGCTGTGGACAGAGGTTCGCCGTTGTACCGTACTAGGGTGGCAACTCGTTTGCTGTGGTTTGCATGCATACAGCCTGGATCTCTGCCGGGGTTTAACGGCTGCGTAAACCACTTGGCACAAGGCTAGCAGTTTTCAGAACATGTGTGTGAAAATCACAGTCAAATGATGAACAAAAATCAAGAAGATACACATGTACGGGTTCAAATGCATTCACACATACGTGTGCACCTTCTCAGTTCACTCAATCTCAGTTAATAATAATCTTTACACTGCTGCGGTACTTGTTTTTGTGAATGCTTTAAACACTGGGTCGCGGGTAAACCCTCAGGGAAGCTGAGTCTGTCAGTGAATTTAAATCCGGATTAAAGACTTATCTTTTTAAGCAAGCGTTTTTTTTTAATCTAATTGTCCAAATTCCCTTTTTGAGGTAGGTATATTTTACAGATTTTTGGATCATTTTAAAACTTTTTAATTGCTAGTTTTTATTGTTTACAATAATTTGTTTTACTATTTTTTATTGTTTTTAGTGTAATTGTATTGTAGTTTTAACCAGTGTCTTAACTTTTTGGAAAGCGCCCTGGAGCACGATTTTATCATGGACGGGCACTATGTAAATACTAACTTATTATTATTAAACGACTCTCGTAAAGATTTTGAGAAGTTCAATTTTTCAGTTTTCTTCCTTCCTGCATGAAAGTTGGAACAGGATGTACCGATTTGGAATCACACCCTGGATGCTTACTGCTTAGCACATGCAAAGAAAACATGGTAATGTGCAGCTGTAGATTACACTGTACAAGGTACTTGTATGTTCTCCACATTTTTAATTACATGTAAACTCAGCAGTTTCCAGGGGGCTGCTATGGTGCAAAGTTGAAGCAACAGACAAATACATGTACACTGTATCTCCCATGCAGGCAAATCGACTTACTACGTGTACATGGAGTAGTCAATAGAAATGAATACATGTATGTACATCTACATGTACATGCCGCACAATGAGGAAATCCACACAGGAAGCCCAGACCAGAGTATGCAAGGGAAATGGTCTCCATACAGGAACCAACCAGGCCCTGAGATGATAAGAGGTCATTCTGAAAATTTGGGATTGTCCATAATGTGTAAAGATAACAAAGGAAAACTGCCACCTATCCAGCATTCCTTTACACCTGTACATGTACATCAACTAATTACATGCCAAAAGGAACATCTGGTATTCATGTACATACATGTAGACAGTCTCTACACATTGCCTCCACATTTATACCACCAGGCTACTGAATGATTGAAGATGTTGGACACGTACTGGTACATGTACCAGCCAAGTATACAGGGCTTCAACAATATCATTTAGCTTCACCCTCCCATGCAAAATATTTAAAAAAAGAAATCTTTAGTTCTTATATGTTAAAAAAGGTTACCTGTCACAAGGGAAAAAAAGACATAAGAACTCAAACTTGACGGGGTAAATATTATACATAATAACATATTACATGTATCTTGCTTGAGCCTCACAAAAAACTATGAGAAATTTGTCAGCCGAAGGGAGAGTTGCGTTTGCATGATTTCATGTTTTTCTGCACTCAAACAGTCTGATAAATTATTACATTGTACTGGTACCTAGCGTTTTGGTTTTCACACACCACAGCACGACAGAGCAAAACTTGCTGGTCATTCTCCCCACGAGTATCATGGCCTGCTACTGGTGCAGTCCGTTACTTCATCGGATTTGTTCCCCTTTGTCATTGTGGCTTCCTCTCTTCCTAGCAAAACAAGAAAAAAGCCCCGCCCCTGGCCCTGGTAATACACACAATAGGGCCCATGAATGAGGTCACCTTCACTGGCCCAACCTTGTGTGAAGTGGACGTGCGGAAGTCCGGAAGTAAATTTGGCCATGGAAAGAGATTGTGCTGGGTGAAGTGTGTAATGAAAAGAATGGCCAGGTTAAAGGTGTAAGGACTTGGATAGACTACGTAAGGTTGCTAAAATTATGCATCATGCAACAAGAAAACTGGTTTTGTGAAATAAGTTTGTCTTTTTGTCATTTGTCTTTTTTTCCCCCAAAAACCAATATACAGGGTATGTACATGTACATATCGGTAGCAATCCTCTTTTAGGGTGATTTTCTTCACAAAGACTACAGTTTGCCACGAGTGCTAGTTCCACATTATCTCAATTCCTACATCTTTTTGAAAGATTTTTGATTTTCTTTTCCTGATTCACATCTTTGGAGGATTTTATTCAAAAGGGAAATAAAATTCGATATTGCACCTGATCTGAACTCTTATCACAACAGTGACGTAAGCATGCAGCAAGACTACCAGGCCGACTCTACCAAGATTGTATGTGATTAAGTTAAGGTGCCTTTTTCAAAACACAATTTCAGTATGCTTCGTGCCAGTATGTGTACATTGTAGGTGTATGTAAGTTCCAGAGGGTGTTCACCAAAACAGTATGGGGCTGGAATGTGGTCAACAGGTGATATGCAGAGCAGACCCAAGAAAGTTATCATGGAAAGGTCAACTCACAGGCAGGGTTAATCATTCTCTTTCCTCCTGATAAGTCTTTGTCAGGTGCTTCATGTACATGTACAATGTATGTTTTTTTCATGATGGAGAATCCAAGCTTTACTTTTAAAAACAAAATCTTCCACAGCCGCGACCAAGATAAGAGAAGGATAGATCCTACATTTTAATGTAAAATTCCATTCAAACCATATTTTGCTAATATTGCGATTCTGTAGAAAACTTACAGAGCCTGGCACGGAAGTCAACCATTACACATTGCATTGACTCGCATACTGCCCATTCCCTTGTGTCAGTGGCAGAATTTAATGCTAAGGCCCACCTATATGGAGTCCAAGCAGTGCTAGTTGTACGAGTCCATGAAGAAAGGCAACACTTTTTGGAGTATACCCGTGTTTGTGCATCCTTATTTCTCGTCATGAATCTCTTTGGATGAAATTACACACTAACATCAATTGACCATCAATGATCATTTGTCGCATTTTTCTCTTTACAATAACAAGCATAAATTAAAAGCTTTTCCAGTGAGTAGTTGGAGAAAGTGTTAGCAGTGTGCAATGTATAAAGTTTTACTTTAATGTTATTCCATGTGGAATTTTAGTCCAGCTTTCAACTAGTAAAAGTGAAGAAATAAGTTTATTCAAAGAAGTACAAAAAAGAAAACTGTCTTTCCCCAATTATAACCTTTATACAATGGGTGACAAGATCATCTTTCAAAATTAACATGAAACAATGGAACACTTTTCCCATTTATGGCCCCCAAAAATGTCCCAAACATGGACTTCCGCGAGTCCCTTTTTTGCTGATTTTAGAAATGCTCATTGTGTATTAATAATATGCCGGTGACCCCGAAATGTCACGGGGAGATACGGTTGTAAACAGTGTGCATATTTTACACAAGGCTCGTACATGTAGTAGAGGCAAGTTCAAAATGTGATGTTTTTGTACGGTTCTTGTAGACTATGTTGATTGTTCCATCCATCAAGTTTAAGTGCATGATTTGTTGTGTTTTTGTCATAAAATAAAACATACCCCGGTCTTGTGCAGTTTGTAGTTTTGGACAGGAATCTCGTACACTGAGACTTGGTCTCAACGTTTCCGTGCAAAACCGTGTTGAAACCATTGTTCCCAGACAGCGCATTAAGGGTAGATTTTAAACCTTCCCGATTGTCACAAATGAAAAATACTGTGGGAAGGATTTTTGAGGACTGCTTTGACGAACATCCAGTGTCTGTACAAGCACTCCAAACCGAAAAAAAGCCACACATAAGCCTCGCACACTGCTTGTGTTGAATTGCATCTGACGGCTAAGATGGTACAGGGTATGTACGGTGCTGTGCTGCTGGACCACCACCAGGTTTGTGCAACACTGCCACGTTGCTTGCCGTCGTCCCCATTCATCGATGAGTAAATAGTTACTTTCATAGGTACTGAATCTACTCATTTTCACAAGAAGAATCCTATGTGTTTATCTCTTTTCCTTCAACACATTGAACATTGTAGGCTTGGCAATAAACAAGCCTGCACGCTTGTCTTCTACGACTTAAGCTACACACGTTTGCTAACATTACAAGGTACATGCAGCCCGCGATTCAGCTCAAGATTCCGGTCTGGGTACTGACTCCTACGCTGACCGCCTTCATGAATAGTCTGTTCCCACAATGCACGTGAACAGAGTGTACTCTCTACCTTCAATTTCGGAACAAATCTCAATTCTTTTGACCAGCTAAGGATAAGATTTTAGGTTTACACATCTATAATGTATAATATTTTGCATTTTCTACACTTCATCCAAACTTGTTTTAATGCATTCCAGGGCCACATTGATGCCAGCTTACACGTATCTTCATGCATGTTTCATGCATGCCTGCTGTGCCTTTCTCCCAAATGACGTTATCAACCCAACATTAACGCAAAATTTGGCCTTGCGTGTTACCAAAATCAGCCCAGTTGGTTGTGGAAAGAAATCGCCTCTTATTTCTCTTGTGTTGATTTTCAGGGGATAAATCCATTGTACCGGTATACTGCTTTTGGGTGGCCAATCCACCTCCCAAACCCCAGATGTCGAAACATTTTAAGCCTTTTAAATACCGCTTCAAGAACAAAATTGGTTGAAGTGCTAAGTGCACAAATTACGGCAACTGCAAGGAACTCGTGTAAAGATACATGTGCATGTATAGGCCCGCACCTAGGCCTACATGTACATGTACAATGTAGTTAGGAAAAAAAGGGAAAAACACGGAGGAAAAACAATTAAGGACATGTTCACCATGTTCATTATGGACCAACAGTCAAATTATTTGCTTTTTTAAGGCCAGTTCATACTTCACATGAAAGTGGGCGCTATTTGCGAAATTGTGATGTCACGTGGAAAAACTCCATTGCGGATGTTGCTTCACACCCTGCATACAAACCCCTTCAAGACCAGTCTGAAAGAGTGTTTTCTAAGTTAATACCTCAACATGTTCATTGCTAAATTGGATTGGAAAGAGTTCCATACATGAACATCACTTGACAATGACACCCTTGGCACAAACCCACAGGACTGGCCTAAAGAGTTTTAAGTGTTTTCCAAGCAGGCCTAAATGCTTCAATATTTTCCTTGCTCAATTTGACTTTTTGGGACATGTTGTTATCACTTTCTGACGGCTGTTGTAACATTTTGAGGGAAAATTAGTGTTGTCCGTATATGGAACTCTTTCCCCTTTGGGGATATCACTTCGTGACTGCTGATCACACAGCGCAAATTCACGGTCCAACAAGAAAACGATAAACCAACTGTACAGGCAGGACAGACAAGGCAGCATATTTCATCGAAATGTTCGGAGACAAGTTTCACCATGAAGAGACACAAATAAGACACTTATGAAGAGACACAAATTGCCGGTCTTAGTACTGTACCTGATTGCTCCCTTAATTCCGGAGTGCACCTTGTAATTGAGCATGAAGTAAGCAGAGTAAAGGGGGTCGGGGCTGAACCAATGCGCAGGCGAACAAAATTAGCCGGCTTGTGCAAACACGGCAAGCGCAAAGTTCTGTCCGTCTAGTCAGAACGCGTTGACGCGGGTAGTTATACCGGTCAGTATTGCCTTGCTCTATGACATTGCCAAAAAGCAAGGGTTTTGCTAGCGTCTACTCACCTAAATACTTCAGTTCTTGTCTTGGTTCTTGAGCCTTGGTTCGTGTTCTTCACTGAGAACGACGAACAACTGTAACTTTCGGACGGAGGTTGTTTCAAACGCGAGACATTTGCGTCTTGATTCATTCACTTAATCAGCCTAGCCGTAGGCCTGGGAAACGAAAATGATTACCTCATCCGCTCCGGTTTATATATGCGGCTGCGAACGCTTAAGCGCTTACGTACATATTCAAATAGACTTTACTCAGATCAATTTGATATTGATATTTTTTCAGTTTAAATCCCGTGTCGTTTTCTGACATTTATCGTCAATCAGCTCATAATTATTGTTAAATGTATGAATATATATATTGTGTAAGCATACTTATCGTTTTGAATGTTTTTTTCTCAAAAAACCGATATAAAGGGTATATTCTCTTTGTAAATTTTATTATACGACTTGAATTAAGGCTATACACAATGACAATGCATAACGTGGGCCATGTCCTAAAGTACTGACTGCGGCTAAGCGAAGTTGTGCTTTGACGTTTTATCTCCTGCCACAGCCATAGCTTTTAGACACGGATGTTTGTTACGAAAAGAGCGACAGATTCGCCGCTGAGCGGCGCTATTTCAATCTGGCAAAAGGCCCAGAAGTTCGCTTAAGTGAACTTGCCGATAAGCGTAAATTGATGAGTTTGCGCTGCTCGGCACAGAGAAGAGGGCACTCTTTACAATTTAAAGGCACTTTCTGTTGAAAAACAGTGCAAAGGCGCACAGGCCATGGTATATCCTTTTTGTAACTGATAAAAAGAGACCCTTTTTCAAATTAAATCAAATTTGTAAACAAATAAGAAGCAAGCAGATAATTCCTCAGCGTGCGTGATTATGAGAGCTTGCCGATTTAGCCCCCAAATTCATCCGTCAGTATTTTGCATTAACTTATCTTATCTAGGTTTTTGGCGCTGGGCTCGGTTGATACTGCTCTAAATTCCCTCACGTTTCGTGGAAGCATTCGTGTCCTTATTTGTTTTACATAGAGTTGTAACGAGTCACTAATTTTTTCGAGTTGAGTCATTGTAACGTAGTGACTTGAGTCGAGACATTAGGCAAAATAAGTTGAGTCAAGTAGTCAAGTCACCAGTATTCGAACACAGTACGAGTAAAAGCAGGAGAGAAAGTCGTATTTTTTACATTTTTAAATTTACCTCTGGATTTCTATATACATACCACATCTCACCTTCATTGATAATAACGCAGAACATGAACATTGAAAAACGGCACTGCAAGCCACTGCAAATAATTATTTCTCTCGCAAAGAATTTTTTTTTTAACTCGAGTCTTAAACTTTCAATCAAGTGAGGTCTTTCGATGAGGAACTCGAGTCGAGTCGAAAGACTGGTACGGACGAATCCCGAGCGGGTTATTGCAAAGAGCAAGGACACCCTCTATGGTTTACTGCATGAAGTAAAATTTTTCAAGTAAAATTAATATGGGGGGGGGATGGATCGAGAAAAGTTTGAATTCAAAAACTTTAACTGAAACAAAACAAAAAACAAACAAAGGAATAACAGCGATGTGCTCATAAACGCAGTTAAACATGAAGGGAGTATGCAAGTGGAAGCGCGCTTTTAAAAAGCACTAACTTTTTTGACAAGAAAACTTTCACCGGTCTAAGCGACTCTAGTGCCATGAAGTATGAGTATATTCAACAATCGAAGTATATTTATATTCGAAGTTTGTTTTTATGAGAAATATTACTTCCAACATCATTTTGAAGAGATATGTATTTCCACGTAAGTTTTCCATCTCATAAAAACGAACAAAAAAATTCGAAAAAATGCATCTCATTAAAACGAATGGAAAAATTATACTTCACTTCTGAAAACGTGTTCTTGATGGCGCCATAGGTGATCCAGGAATTTTTTTGGGGGGGGGTGCGATGAGTTGCACAGCCACGGATATTTGAAGTGTTCGTGGGAGGAGTGCCTACACTCATACTAGAGGGCTATGTTTACGATACGGACGTATCATAAACACTAAATTCTTGCTGAACCTTATGTTAATATTATTATCTTCCAAATAAATTCACCAGTCCGTCCACTAATTCGAAAAACCAATTAATTTGCACAAACAGCAGAACTATGAAGGAAAATTATACATGTATTAAGACAGCTAATTCATCAAACGAAAGGTGCTGTGTCATATCATTCACATTTCATCTGTGCTCTCCACAAAACTCTTCCTTCTTCCCGTGGGAGGAAGAGGGGGGATGGCAAATATAGGAAAGAACGAGAGAGACAAAAAGAAAGAAGTGGGAAAAGAAAAAAAAAAGGAAATGGATCCAAACCATAAATTTTGTGAGAAAATACCTCCAAATTGCCCCATGCACAGCCTGTTTACTACAGCCATGTTAATTGCCAAACTGATTTGAAATTAATACCAAAGTCAAAAATCCAGAAGAAAAACTGACATCAAACTCACACACCCAAAAAACAAACAGCTCAGAAAAAAACAACAATATGAAACAATTTAACCAACACCTCTTCATTTATTGCTAGAATGGATCCACCAGAATAGGCAATTGGAGACAAGTTACAAAAACAGTGCACAGTAAAAGGATTACAATGATTGGTATCATTAATAAAACAATGAAAATAGATTGCAGGTCAGAGGTTGGGAATGTTCATGAAAGCACATCACTTAGTACAAGTATATAGGGCTTACAAATGAATCGTATTGATTGACAAATTTTGCTGTCAAGCAAAACTACACACGAACCAGCATGTGTTTACGGTACTTTGTAAAAACACCCCCAAAATATACAATATTCTATCAATGAAGTGATATCTAAAAATTAAAAAGTGCCTCTTTGTATAAAAATATGCTAGTATTTTACATTAAATTAATATTTTTTTTTTAAATTACTGCAGCTGAAGATTAAAAAATCTAGCACAAAAATCAAATTGCATTTGTCTATTCTAAAACAATACATAACACCACAGAAAACCAACCATCTAAGTCATCATTAACATAATTAAATCGTGCAATTGGGTTTCACAAGGAACCACGACTTTTTAGTCTACCCATCAGCTAACATAAATGTGCTTTCTTTTTTGTAGCAGTGACAGAAGAAATTTAACACTGGGTGATTAAAAAATTGCTCAATCCCATAAAACTTGACTTGAAGGTACCGTATGTTTGGTTGATAATCATATCCCGAAAGAAATAAACTACCTGACAAAATTAATCCTTGACTAGTGTTAAACAGACACATGTAAGTGGTAAAACACAATTAAAAAAAAAATCAGTTACAGTTTACTTTGGAGTATGAAATGCCCCGCTTGATACAGTGAAATTGTAGACCCCCCCCAAAAAAGAGACATAAAAAAACAGAGGTAGGAGTGTACCATACTCAACTCCAGTACTCCATCTTTTCCCACCATCAACCGAAAGCGTATGAGTATGCATTTGGGAACACCCCCCCCATCAAACTATCTTATTAATGTGCATCATTCAAAATGTTACCTTTTTTCCATTAGTTGGCAGTTATGTCAGGAATGTTAAGAAATACTGTTTTTTTTTTTTTTAATTTTTAAACGGCACTGCCGTGGGCAGTTATGCACCCAACTAAAGACACTGCTATGACCCCACAACGAATTGAGTAAAAGTTATATGCCTGTGGTTAAAAAACCGAAATATCATTCATAAAAAGTATCAAAAACTTGCAGTACAGAGTCGCACACAACAAAAACTCAATAAAATAACAGTACTGAGACACTTTTGAATTCACATGTTATGTAAAAGATTGGGACAAGTATCTTCAATAATGCTTTCCATTTTTCTTAGTAATGATATTGATATCATAACAATGTCATTTCTACATAATGTGGGACAAAACTCAATCAAAAGTCACTTTGATAATGACTGCTTCATCACTACCATGAAAATGACAAATTTCAAACATTTGTTATCTGAAATACCTTACAGGAATGTTTCCTATGACCTGATTTATGTTTATAAAACTGTGACCAAATCAATAGCACTCTATGAGAGATATTACTGATTTAAAAGACCTGCAATGTAATGATTCCATGCTTTGTTTATACATGTGCTTTCCTATATGGACTTGATCGCGTCCTACCTCTACTATAGGAAAGTGCACAAGTAAACAAAGCATGAGGTCATTGTGTTACATGTATATTCATTAGCCTACCGTGACATTGATTTATCAGGTTATTAAAAACAAAAACATCCAAATATCTACAAAAAATAAATGTGTGGTAAAATACTAACAAAAGCAAGGGCTTCAAATTCTGCATTGCCGCATTTTGAGAATGAATTTCATTTAAATCCCATGAGAGAAATCACTTATGAGTAAAGGGTAGCTGCAAGGCACTTCTTTATAAACAAACCTTCAAAATGTGACCTTATGTTTCAGGAGGCTCATTTTCGCATCACTATTTGTTTCATATTGCTACTCTTTGGTTGTTATAAAATATGAGTATTTCCATATGCATGTGCAAAACTGTGATGTCATCCAGGGAAGAAAGAGTCAAAGTTCAATTGGTTTGTGCACAGAAAACTTCTGATTTTTTATATCTAGGATTTTGCTCTTGTAAATATTCTTTTCTTTGGCAATTCATTTTTGGATAAGTGCACAGAAATAAGTAAGAATGCACCTCTTTCTGAGCAATGTTTCCAGTGAATAAATTCTGGGCTTAAAATACAAAACAGAAAAGGCTACACACTAAATAATAATCTCCATGCATGACATCACAGAAACAGCGCACTCGGTTGTACAGGAAAGCATGAAAGTTTTTTTATGTTTTAAAAAGTGTATGTCGCAATGCACTTACCCGTAAAGGGATTTCAACTAGTTTTCACATATTGAAGAGAAGTACACAACAGAAGAATTTATCTGAGAAACATTCACTGAAGCTACACATTAACTCACTGCCATATAAATACACAGACCACCAAATCACATTCCGAAATACATGAATATTTCGTGATTCGAGCACCATCTGAAAAATCAAACTATTGGCAAATTACCCCCTTGGCATAAGGAGTTCAGGAACAGTTGAAGAATTCAAGCCAAAAAATTCTTTGAAGCTTTTTTTTTTCGATTGTAAAAAGAAAATCCTCAACATACTTAATCTGGCCCATGCTGCCATGCACATTAAAAAATGGTTAGAATATTTGAAACAAAGAGATGGTAGGACCGTAGAGCTAAAAGTGAATATATTTTGAGAGTGCGTGCAAAGAAATACACACAATGTAAGTGCATCCCACCCAACATGCCCAAAGTACACTTAATGCCTATATGTGCTGGTATCCGTAGTTTAGACCACACTTTCCAAATCACGCTCACAAGACTGGCAGTCTGTGCATTCATATGTCTGTGTTACCACTCTCTTGAAAGCCAGTTGCTCATCTCAAATGTGCATCATCCACAGTGACACCAGGCAGAGTACACTAGACAACACGGCAAGCCCCAGGGATTGGGTCTGATGGGCAGATGGGGTGGCACCATTCCTGTTGTCTGGTGGGAGGGTTGCTAGGCCTCTATTGGTCGGCAGTGGTGCCTGCAAACTGCTTGGGTACTCACCAGTGTCTCGTGAGTTGCACCACAGCTCGGGGTCAAAACCATCCTCTGCATTCAAAGTGAGAGGAAATGGAGTCAAAGCCTCTGGAGCTAAATTTCCTTAAATGCACATTTTGGCAGTTTCCACTAGGAATCAAACTTGACTATTTCCTCGTATATGCTACTCCAGTGGTAGAGTCTCCCCTCCCCTCCAAAAAACATGCTTTCCTCACAGCTTGTATTCTGGGCCCTTGCAGAAATTCCTTCCTCTCACAAATACTTCTTATCCTCATGAGGGACAAGAAATAAGAAGCAAATCATCAAATAAGCTCTCAGCATTACCTGAAAGATCCTTGTAACAATTCTTGCAAATGAAAAAAAAAAAGTCAGAGCAAGGGCAATGCAGTTTACGAAGACCCAAAATTCAGTGTATGCAGCATAAGTTGGTGCGAAATTTAGCATGACAACCACAGGCATGCAGTACCAGAGATCAGATTCTTGTAGTAACCCCTAGGCGGGACTACCTGCTCCTGTTGCATACAACATCGGTGTGAGATTGTAGCAAGTGGGTCCAAGTAATGAACTTACACAGTACACTGAGTAATGGTGTTATTCTGCAGACAAAACCTGCATCCCTCTCTCCCACAAAAAACAAAACTCATTCAAATAATGCAAGACAGGTAACCCCAATATAGCTTATAAGTAGTCGAAGCTGGACTTTCGGTAAACCAGGGCAATTATTGCTTAGAGACTTTTTTGACAGTGCTAAGTGATTGCCTTACCTCCAGGCGGGCTGACTGCAAACCGATAGAAGAAGCTCACGTCCGTCTCGTCGCAGCTGGTCGCGTCGCAGTAAAACTCAAATGTTAGGCTGTCCTCGGCGCCCTCTACTCTGTTGGCCTGGCGACAGTCATAAATTCTCTGGGAAAGAGGGTGGAAGGAGGAAGGCAAGTCAGTCAACCCAACTTTGCTAGCGTAAAAAAAATGCCATGTCTTGGTCCTGAGTGGATACACTCCGCACTGGACGAAAACATGGCATGTTTCACAAACAAACAGTGTCCTTCTGGTTTGATGCGTAGGCAAAGATATGTGCCTTTTTGGTGAAGTTGCATGAAGTACGTACATGTACAATTTCTGCAATGATGTTCTTTTTTTCTTCATCAAAGTGTGCTGGCTGTGCAGCAGCTAAAATGATCCCCACCAGCTTCTCCCTTGCTTGCCAAGTGATGGGGTATTTCTGGTCAGGGTAACTATTTAATGGGGGTATTTTCATGGGGGGGGTCAGGGGAGTTATTGTTGAACTCATGTGGTTCAAGAAAGCAGGTGGGCGGGGATGGATAAAGTGCCTCCCCAAACGTTTTGTTTTTCATTTTTATCATGTATAAAACTTACAGGGATCTTCCAAAGAGTTCTCATCGACTGAAAAGTAAGAGGTCTACAGCTGAATTAAAGACATCAATGTGTACATGTACTATTCTGAAATGGCCAGTTCAGTTAGGCAAGTTCGCAGCGAAATTTGGCCAAGGAACTTGTCAATGTCCCCAAAATATTTTTTTGTCCTGGCAGTAAAACTACTGGACAAAACATAAGTGGTCCCATTAACTACAGGACAGAAACTGATGCTCCACACACAGGAAAACATTGCCAACTTTCATTCACTTGTAATAGTTAAAGTTACTTACAGTGTCACAAATTTCACGATTGTACTGGTCTCTGACACTGAAATGTAAGAGATAAAACAAATGAAATTAGGAATACATAGAAGGTTTACTGTGTGTACAGCAGTGATGTAGTCGAGTACCAAAACTCAATTACCAAGTTTTCCCGAGTACACACAGTGCTGAGTACAGGCCGAGTTCAAGTACTTTTCAATCAAGTCCTGGGCCAAAAATCTGAGTTCCGAGTTTTTCAGAGTCTGAGTATGGGCCGTGTATGAATACAAAGATAATGGAATGCATCCAAGTACATTGTGAAACTAAAACATTATGGAAATTTGCATTGATGTACACCAGTGATACTGTGAGCGCTGCCACGTTCCAACACCCATTCATGAAAACTTGATGTACAGATGATGAAACACTGTGTGACTTGTATTGTGTAGCTTACACTATGTAAAATGTTTAGTCAAAGTTCAGTATTGAAAAATTAGTATCGAAAAAAATCCCAATTTCGTTTTGAGTACTGCGTGACTGGGATCGAGTGAACAGGGTAGAATTTGTTGAGTTTAGGGACAAGTTCTAGTACAAAATTACCAGTACCAACCAAGTACTTGTTTTTTTTTTTTAGTATTAAGGATCGAGTATGAGCCAAGTACTTATTGGTACTCGAGTGGTACTCGAGTTTGAGTTCGAGTACGTACTACAACACTGGTGCATAGGCAAGGTATCTACATCCAGTGTTAAAATTAGTAAGGCTGAAGATGAGGGCCATTATTACCCACCAACTCCAGTGCACCAAGTAAACTTTGCTCATAGCAGTTGGGACATAATGAATTGAACCCAGCTACAACAATTCCAACTTGGTTTTTTTTAGTATTAAGGATCAAGTATGAGCCAAGTACTTATTGGTACTCGAGTGGTACTCGAGTTTGAGTTCGAGTACGTACTACAACACTGGTGCATAGGCAAGGTATCTACATCCAGTGTTAAAATTAGTGAGGCTGAAGATGAGGGCCATTATTACCCACCAACTCCAGAGTACCAAGTAAACTTTGCTCATAGCAGTTGGGACGTAATGAATTGAACCCAGCTACAACAATTCCAACGTGAGTTTTTTTCACAGTATAATCAGAAACCTTTCCTCATATACATGCATAATACTTCATTTTTCGACAGCCACAGTACAGACCTCTGAAATAATGATGGCCACATCCAAGATCCATGTCTCAAAGTGACGTTTTTAAGGAATTAAAACTCAAAAAGGTTTACCAGTTGATGGGAAGTAATAAGTGTGCATGCATATTCAAAAAGAGATCAACTTACCAAAATTTGGAGCCGGGAGGATTTGATTCAGCCTTTTCAAAAGAAAACCAGAAAAGGGAAACTCTAATACCTTCAGTTACCATGGCAATATAAAAGATAGGGTAAGGAATGGTATGTGCTGAAAGACTGCAACGCATACATGTGTGATACTGTTCTGTACTGTAAGGGTTCACTTGGGAACTCTACATCAAGGCTATAATTTTTTAAATCAAATAATTCACCCTTTTTGTAAACAGGACTGTCAAACAAAAGTTAATTTCAAACCCAACTGAACAACAAGAGAGAATCTGCTGTTTGTTCAACAACAAAAGTGGGTATGACAACATGCGTGCCATGTTAGAGGCTTACGCCACTCAAATCCTTGAAAACAAAAAAAAGGAAGGAATTAGATTACACCATATCTGGTCCTGGACAGCACCAGTCTTTATCTGCCTGGAACAAACATTCTTCACTGATTGTGGGACAATGTGAACATCATGATTATCCACAAATACACTGGTTTCATTTCACATCTTTGTGGCCTAGGAAAGGAAGCTGCGACACTGAAAGCATACATGTAGGCCAGAGTGGGAACTATGTATACAGATATGTTTCAAATCACAGGTGCTTCACAATGCATGGTCAATGCAGTCTTCAAGTGTGTGTCTCCAAAATTCTTGTACAGTAAGTTTTTGATCAAAAATATTGCCATTTGCTAAAGTATGCACTGGAAAATGGATCTTAATCTCTCAAAACAAGTAGGCAATGAGCCACTGAGGTAGGAGGTGTTCTGAAACTCGACAATGTTTTCGGCTCTGACAGTACATATGCATTATGTTTTATTTAAAATCTTTACTCTATTAAGTCCTACAAAAAAACCCAGAAATCTATATTAGACGAACGACAAAGAAGTTTGACACTATGACCCACTTCTGAAATTATTTTCACCAAAGTAAAAGCTTTATTGACTTGGTTTTTATGAACATTTCCGTGCTGGCCAGAGGCGTAGAATGGGAGCATCCAGTCATTCAAATCAATGACAAGAGGATCCCCATAATTGCTACAGGACGCCATGCTTCATTGCACTGAACTGAACTCACCATGACTTCCACCCTTGTGTCTTCAACCCCCATCACTTTGATGCACGGGTTGGGCAGTCCGATGTCGCTGTAGTATATTTCAGTCCGGGCAAAGCCCACTGGTCTGGCACTCACGTCGTCGATGCTGCTGTAGTTTCGATTGTATTCTGCTTCTGGAATGCCGACCCACGTTTTGACATTGGTGGTGCACGCCTGACCATATACACCTGTAAAAGAAAAGGGCAACGGTTTTCAAGAATCGACACAACCAAGTCTGTGGTCTCATTTACATTTCAACCAATCAGATTTCCAAAAGAAAAACCACTTGAGGGGTTTTGATTTTTTTTTGTTAACTCGATGCATAAATGTTGTCATATTTTATTGCTTTTATCCTTCTCACATTGATTGCTTAGTGACCTTAGAAAAACATAACTTACAACTAAAGGAGAAATGACGTGGAAGGCATTTAGCAAACTATTTTTATTTGGTGTATCGCTCTTCTTGAATCTTTGAGATTATATTTGACCTACCCATTTGGAGAACCTTTGCTTTTGAAAGTCAATTTAAAGAGCTGTAACAATATCAATATGGATTGTGAAGTTTAATTTCACAAGCACAAGGTTCACTACAAATGACATTCTGATGTCAAGATGCGCTTCCTTTTGTTGTAGTTGTTGTTTTGTATTTATCACTTGTATTTTGAAAAGAAAAAAAGTGCAGCAGTTGTGATTCACTTGATCACAAATTCCAAACTTTGTTTTTTGTTGTTGTTTTTTTCCACTACAACGTATTTGTTCATGTATATCTATCAGTAAAGTTCTACCAGGAAACAGTCACAATGGTACTTCCATTTCCTGAAGGTACCAGCCATCAGCTACATGTACTACTAGAGGAAATGCAGCGGCATCAAAAGGGCAGGTACACATGTACATTGTACTTGTACTGCAGGAGGCAGCCACCTGACAGGTCCACACCCATGCACTCTCATAGAACCGTGTTAACAATGAGCTATTCATGCACAACAACTGCTGGGGCTTAACGAGGGCCAGCACTTTGGGGTACACTGCTAATGACTTCTTTGTTCAGGAATTTATCTTCCCTTAAATGGGACCACAGGACAAGGAAGTTTCTCTGAAAAAAAAAACTTTCATTGGTTTGTCAGTTTTAGTGGAGTCATGTTTACCAGTCACCTGTAACTTAGTACCAGAGGAGGAAGTCATTTTCCTGATAATTGCACTGGAGAGTGCAAACTTTCATTTTCCGCTTAGTTGCCAGATTTCATTTACAGTGATTTAACACAAAAAACTCCACAGAAGAAAAGAAAACAGGGAGGAAATCTAAAAGAAGATGCAACAACAGAAGCAATATCTGCCTGCCAAGCCACGAGACCTATTATCACTTTAAAGTTGAGAGGATCAACCATTAACACAGTCCTAGTTTAATACTTCTGATTGAGATTTGAAAGTGTATGAAATTGATCGTTCTAAACTTCAGCTGTAGGAAGAGAGGAGTTCAGTGTACAGTGTCAGACAACAGGATCATATCTCCTTAGACAGCTTGAGGTTATTAAAAATGTCAAACATTTTAGTAGTAAGAACAAAATCAAACTCTGTACTATAAAGTTAAAGCTTGAGAATGAGGAAAAATGTGTTCAAGAGCCATAAAAGAAGCCAGTTTTCTGTAGCTGCATTGTTAAAATGGCACAATGCCCCATACTTAACAGGATGCATTTCAACAAGCATGGAGTGACTCATTCTGATGGACCTTTTTCCAGCATACTATCAACAGCCCAATATGGTAGGTTGTCTCATTTGGTGGCTTTGCCAAAAACCTTGAAATGAACAAATGAGTTGTTTGTGTCGTATTTCATGCAATACACTAGAACTGTTGTGTTTCATTAAAACCTGACTATTTTGAAGTATTTGTAAGGCTGCGAAGATTTGTGTGCCAACGTGATTGTCCACTTGCACTTAAAAATACACATTTCTAAAGCACTTTTTTTCAGCTGAAAAGTCAGATTTTTGGGTGGCAGAGGGAGACGATAGTTACACGTACGTAGATACTGTCTATTTCAATGTACCGTGGAAACTTACTGCTTTAAATACACACCCATACATGTACATGTACATCAACACAAAAACAATCTTTGAACTTTGGAATCTTAGCATCAAAAAACAAATATTCATGTGAACTTCCATGTACTGGATACTGGTTGACCCCTGTTTAAATACCATTTAACAAGTATGATGCACAAGCAACTTTTTTGGGGGGGGGGCTGGAAGGGGGATTAAACATTTAGGAGTTGCTTTTCAACATAATGTTAACAGCCTTTTGAAGAGGTCAGGCGCCATTCTGGGTCTTTTTCACATGCATTATGAGAAAAGGAAATGAAAGAGCCCCCCCTAAAAGCTATAAAGTTGCCTCAGGGTGGGGTGGCTACCCCCCGTTCTGCTAATACTCTGCCACAACACAAAGTAACAAATGTCCGAAAGATAACTGACAACTGAAAGAACTATATTCTCCCAACATTACGATAAATGATAGCAATTGGATATCGATGTCATTGAGGTTTTTCTTCAGAGTGACGTGAATTTGATTTTGATATTTTTGTTTGTTTTTCAAAAAGTTGACATTAGTCAACAATTCAGTCAGAAATGCAATGTATTCAGTTTTCCAGAAATGTAATGCTGATTGAAAGAGTCAATTCTACATGAAACAAATGTTCATATCAACTTTGTTTCAATTCAACTGCACCCACAAAATTCGTTCAAGTTGGCCTGTGAAAATTAGGACTAGTTGTTTTCAAATACCAACTACCCAAAAAAGTCTTTAATTTAAAGAAAGAATGCTGCATCCTGCCTCCACTTTTTCACCTTTTATCATCTCCATTAAGGTCAGTCATTGTGGAAATGCTGGAAAGACAGAAATCTGGGAAAATTTGAGAGAAAATGTTTTAGTTTTGTTAGAAAATACGTCCATTTTTTTCTTGACTCCCCACAACACAACAGCTGAATTGGTGTCAGGATGCAACATTCTTTCCAACAATAATAACCCTAACCGTGGAGCTACATTATTGCTCCATGCCCAATCCTGCAGTCCTCCAAAGGGTGGATTGACGACTGTTTAAGTTTTACTGTTAAGCCTAATGTTTCTCTTCAGAGCAGCTTCATTGGACCCTAAGTCGATATATAGGCCTTACAAGTATTTTTTTCTAAAGTATCACCACAATTCACATTATATTAAAAGTGAATCTTCTGTGTTAAGACTGCACATTCCCCCCCCCCCCCCCCAACAGTGGGGCCCNGACTGCCCTTTCCCCCCCCCCCCCCCCAAGTGTGGGGCCCTATGTCTCTCTAAGGATGTCGGACCCCACAGTTCTAGGGGGTACTGGGGACCGCAGATTTGGGTGTGAATGGACAAAAGCAATTTTAGATCATAAATACATTCTTAGGCAGAGTTTATGAACTGAACAAAATCAATTGATTCAAAGGTTACAGTCTAAGTGCTCAATCTCATTCAAACCAACCCTGACATGCATGGTTTTGTCATTTTAATCTTGCAAAACTGGTGAGTCCCCCGAAAAACAAAGGCAACACTCTCTTTACTACCCTGACCCTACTTTTCGGAAATTTCAAATTTGTAAACTGAGAGAAAATATGACTTATTTATCTTACTGATAAACTAGCCGTGCAAATTTAAATCCACCTTGCATGCCTTGTGTCATGTGTACTGTTGAACACTCACAGTTCCCCTCATAATAATTCCTTCAAAACTCGGTCTTTTTTGGCAACATCAATGGTCACAGTTATCTACTAAGGTCAATTCAAAAGTTAAAATTAAAAAGTCAAAAGTTCATGACGTTAGTTCTTCCATGGAGGTAGAATGTGATTCTACCTCCATGGTTCTTCTCCCTTTCTATAATTTATAGGAGCAGGGTCCCCAAATTTACAATACCCCTGGGCTGGGGGGCTAATTTTACCTGTGACACTTAGACAGCATAACGCCAGAATCTTCAGGAGAGAACCCATTTCAGCGATTCTTAAGACAGACATCTTTCCAGAGAAACATCAAAATCTGCCGTCTTCCACGAGTGAACGAGTATCACAATCCTCACCAGGAAATGTTTGTAAATGTAGGTGCGAAGTAGGTACGCTTACGTTATAAGCTGGACGCTACGTAGGCGTACGCCTATTTTTCAACCTGACTCACAGGCAAAGCTACGCGGCGCTACGATCTTTGCTCACATGTTCATATACATGTACATATATACGCCGGCGGTATTGTCATTATACCAGTGCAATGATATGCACATCGCACAGTATATACCCTTGTGTACAGATGTACGGGACTTGATTTCTGCCTGCCATTACGTAATTAAAAATATCTCTCTCTGTAGTTTTTTCCAGAAATGGGACTGTATTATATATTCGATGGTAAAAATTTAACGAGCTAAGATAAATGAAGTCCTGAAAGCTAATTCATGCCTTTACATTTTCCTGCCTCTATAGTCATGATAGTCTGTTGCTTTGACGATGATCTGTCAGCGAAAAAGAGGACTCGAAGTAAGACTACAAACTTAGGTCAGTGCATTCGCTGGTACCCATGTGTCTTTTATTGTGTGATGAAATCAGTTAATAATTGACCCGAGCAAAAAACCATGATATCCACTGTGCCTTCAATGTGAAAATCTGTACCCGTGGTAAGAAAATTAGAGAATTTGTATTAATTTGTGGTTTGCAGTGTTGTCTCAAGAGATTTTATAGAAAGATAAGGGAAAACTTGTTCAATGGGAAAATGAGGTGTTTACACTTCTAGAATGCAGCCTTCCTTGGAAAAAGATCAATTGAGTTGGCTGGCGAACGTGCGTACGCGTGGTTCATCAATTCAATGATGATTCACTCATGCATTCACCATGGCATAGACCTGGCGCCTCGGCCAAACCTGTCAGTGTCAAGCGCAATCCTGTGTCCCGCACAGATTTACTGTACTCCATCCTGAGACGAATATCCTTTGAATAACGTGTTCATAGTAGTATGATAAATTTGCCCAAGAGTCAAGATTGCACTGTACATGTATTTCATTATTTCAATTTGTGCCAGTCAACTGGACCATTTGTCAGTGCAGTTGTTACACCCCAACTATAGTGTCAGTCCCAACTATAGTACTGCAAAAAAAATTTTCAACCTTCTCCGAGTTTATGCAGCTCACACCTGACATAATTGATCTAAAATATGACACTTCATTAAAACAGTTATTTTATAGTTGATGTAAACAACTGCTGATGTAAACAAAATGGCTCCGGAAGATGCTTTGGCACATATGCACACACTGTGCTGTAGTTGGGCCAACCCAACTATTGCACTATAGTTAGGACAGTCCCAACTATAGTTGGGACTGATGCTGTAGTTTGGACATAACATTATCACTTGTATTGTATCCATCGCTGTATGGAAATATATCTTGATTGTCTTAAATGAGAGGAATATAAACCAAAGCACGGAGGAATACAAAAAGACATCCAAACCAAATGTCAGATGGTGTAGAAAGAATTCCTTACAAGGATGCCACTCATTTTTACCTACATGTATTCGCCATTTGAAAGCAATAACATGCCCCAGAAAGTCAAATTTAGGAAAATATTGTGGTATGCACAAAGGAAACTTTTTGAGTTAGGTGTGAGTTGCAGAAACCTGGAGAAGGCTTGGAAGTTTTCAGTTGAAATTCTTCCTAGAATTACATGTATGGGCCTCTCTTTCCCAACCAGAAGCCCACAGTTTGAGCTGGATTGAAGGTGTTTAGAAATTTGCCTGGGTAAAACCCACCACTGGATTGTTGAGGTTCTTATTCGGGTGTACATGTATCACTGACTCGCCCGTTGTGGCCTTGCGTCAACTAAAAAGTTTGGAAAACTAGCCCAAAGAACAACTAGACAATATCAGTTTTTCCTAAGCTGAATGGATGAGATGAGATGAAATTTATTTTCTGAAGGATTGCAAGGTGGAGGTAGCACTGGTGGTGTGATGCAGGTTTGCAGTCTTACCATGTGGCATCTGCTCTGTAGTGAGTGAGGTTCTAAGGAGAAATGATGGACTCAAAGTTACAGACATTATACTTTGTCCATTGTCAGGAGACTGAAGAAATTTGGAGGAGGAGTTTATGTTTGGCAGCAATCAAGCAATGATGCCGCCACTTGGTGGCTGGATATTGAATTCTGGCCTCAAGTTCTCCTGCATGTACGGTACATGTAGAAGCATGATTATGCCAGGGCCCATGTATGTGCCTGCTTGACCATTATTCATTCAACAGTATGAGTCCAAGTGCCCTTTGTCCCACTCATCTGTTGGACAAGGGCAGTGGCTTATCCAGCTGAAGGGGAGGGTGGCAATTTTTGAATCTGAATTTATGATATTGAGACCTCTCCTCTGTATTGTACATTCTTCAGGAAATTTAAACCCGTGAGGAGAGGGGACAGTTGGCCACTCCATTTGTCAGTGAACGCAATGTACAGAGCCAGCTAGTAGATGCAGCAGTAGGTCTTCCCATCCGCTTGCGCCAGGCATGCAGTCTTGACAGATCCTGGTGAGACCAGCTCAGCCCGGACCCTCGTGGTCTGTAGTCCCAAAATCTGCTGAAGGTGCCGGCCAGTGGAGTCAGCAGATTCGGGGTCGGTGCCTGGCAGTGTGCGGGGGGCTGGCAGACCGATAGACAACCCACAATGCAGCAGGAGGGACGAGTGCAGTTTCTCAAGTACCACCTTGGCAGCGTCAGGGGTGTGGCTTTCTGTCCTAAGGTACATGAGAATGTCATAATTTATGAGGGTATTAACCCTAGCCCTCCAGCCTACTTTGGCAAGAAATCCTGCCAGACACATTAGTCTGCGTCATTTTTGTAACAAGATCCCACAGGTCAACTCTCCCCAAGGCCAAACAGCCCGGGAGTCGGTGGTTGCCAGTCACCACAAGATCCAACAGTGGCATTGTTCAATGGGACTAACTCCCATTGTCTCAACATGACCAGTTTGTTCGGCTGCAGTGCCTATATTTGAGAGGTCGCAGGCTCAAATCCTGCCTGCTTCAATTTTCTGCATTCATCTTTATAATTAATATGTAAGCACCCAGTCAGTTGCCGTTTGATGATTTCTTTTATTTGCATCATTACACTACACAGGACCGCTACTTATTCTGCTCAGGGGCATTTGATGGCAGGGTCAACTTGTACACAGCCCAGAAGTGTATTCTGCTGCAGAGTTATTCGGTAATTGTGAACCTTCCCTTATCCTGAAACCGTCTGGCTCTGTCTGTTTTCGTCTGATCCCTTTGCCCTTTAGTGACGGTGGAAGGATTTTGACTGACCCTTGTTGGTGTTTCTGAACAACAGTAATGCAGTCCAGTCCACGACTTCACTAGTCGCGACAAGTCGATCACAAGTCCTCAAGTCTTCAGCCAAGTCACAAGCCTTTTCACAGAACTGCAACAAGTTCAGTCTTTTGTCATAGTTCAACCTGTGACATATGACTGGTCTTTTGACTTGTGACTTGATTTGTCAAAGGATTGGTGATGGACTTGACTGTAACGCTGCCGTACACTCTGCCCATGTATAAGGACCCCTTCCCCATAGTTTAACGCAATCAGCATTTTGGGCCTGATGCTCGCCCAGTTATGGTATAGACTTACAAAATCAACAGCACCTCCTCCACGCCAGAGGCTTGGAACAGGGCCCCCTGGCATGCAGTGTGTCACCCCAAGGAAGAGTGTTACTTAGTGAAAGAGCAGCCTCTTTTGTTCATCCAAGGAGATCGTAACTGGTTGAGTGCCTCTAGTCTTCCACCATTACATCCGTCATCTCAAGAAGTACAGGGCCAGAAAAAATTGCTTGTGAGAGCAATTCCAATTTGTCCTAGTATTCAGGCAAACAGTTAAATACCCTTTATATAATCACTGAACTTTTTAAAACCGTTTTGTCAGGTAACAACCTTCAGCTTAGCCAGGAACATACACGCTGTGCGCTTCACCAGCGATGGCAGGAAGGTACGTACTTTACAGCAGACTTACATAACACCTTTAATGAGAAGCTGTCCATGAGGTGGTACCACATGGGTCTTACCCATGTGGTGATTTGTTGGTTGGTGGAACAGTGAGCATATATATACCCACACTAAGTGGAGCATGTTGGTAGTGACTTCTAGATGTGGTCTCAGGATGATACTACGCACAGAAAACAGGTTCTACAGTGTTCACTCTGAAAGCTTTCCAATGCCTGCCATGTTCAGACCTCTCTATCATCTAAATGCAAATTTTAACAACTTTTGCATTTCACCAAAGGACAAAAGGAGTGACGTGTATTTATGAATTTGAAGTTTTTTGTTACATTCGATCACCCCAAGGATCTCTGTTTTATTTACTTGTTTGAAATTGATATAATGTGCGTGTATATTCATGTGACAGAAATAATCATATGTACTTTTTCAGAGCTATGCTGAATATAATTTGCCCATTCAACATTTCAAAATGATGAGTTCATGCAGGAATACGGTTCCCGACATCATGTGAACTTGAACATGCTGTGTGTGTGTGTGTGTGTGTCAGTTGGCATCCAGCCGTGCTGACGGGGCCCACCTGACACATGTCTTGCTGTTCTGAAATGACATACAGCGTGCCTCGGTCTGAGCATCTGCTTTTGAAATACCAAACTTGCTCATTTGATAAAATGTCAATCATTCTGAATTGTCTGTGGCAGATACTTGCGACGACGACTGCAGGGAAATTAGCTGTGGTGGATGTTGAGACTGGCGCTCAACTCCTAACATATGAGAGCTGTGAGTAAATTTCAGTGCTGTAGTCAGGCTTAGCCTCGATGCAATACTGTAACTTCAGTAGTCTTGGTAAAAGTTTTCATTGCACCTGTTGGGAAAGCTGTACCCACAGAAGCTCGTGGCTAAGACCGTGTCTGAAATGTACTTCCACAGTTTGGACTGAACCAGTTGTCAGCATTTGCCCGACGTATGTGCAACCATCAAAAGACCCAGTTTCTAGCCCCAAAACACAAGTTTGAGACATGGCCCAAGACTGAATATTTTGTTCTTGTCAGAGTTTACGTGCTCCCCAGTAAGTTTTGAACATGTCCTTGTGGCCCACGTTTGTCCGTGGCTGCATTAACCCTATCCTTCCAGGGTACTTTGCTTAGAAACCCTGCCAGACACGTTAGTCTGCATCATTTGTTAAAGTGGCTTGCCTGCCCAGTGTAACAAGATCCAACAGGTCAACCCTTCCCAGGTCTAAACAGCCTGGGAGTGTGTGGTTGCTAGTCACCACAAGATCCAACAGGCATTGATCAATGGGGACAAGCTCCCATTGTCTCAACATGGCCAGTATGTTCAGCTGCTGTTGATTGCTCTGGGCAAGACAGGGCACCAGACTTTTACACCCTGTTGCACTGTGCTGCAGCTGGCTGGGTTAGGGTCAATGTGTGAGTATTCATCACATATCATGTTGGAAGTTAGTTTGGCGAATCACTGGGTTAGTGTAGTGGTTCTTTCCTCTCCTCTGTGACGCTGGGTTTGAATCTCATCTAGGACGACATGCAGATTTTTCAGTCCCTACATGATTCCTTGGGTTTGCCCCGCAATATTTGTTTGGATTTTTCTCCCACCTCTAAAATTGAATATTTCTTCATTATCTTCTCAAGGGCCGCAAGAGAGAATAGTTCATGACTGATGGGGCTTCACCCCATTTAAACCCAAATAAATATGTGTCAAACCATAGGCACACTGTCAATGAAATGCATGTTGATTTTTATGAAGCGTACACACTGAAATCTTGCATCCTTTGTGCAGTAATTTGTTCGACTCTGAACTACGTTTTACTTTAGTTGGGCCATAATGTTTCTCAGTTTTGTTGAAAGGACAACAGAATATATCATTGGTTTACTGTGTGACACTTGATTATGTCTGCCCAGGAAGCCCACCCATACAAAATTTGTTGGAATTAAAGGAACAGATCTCACTATCTGGCATATTGTGAGACAGGTGTTAAGTGGGACAGCTGTAAACTTGAGGCTTTTGGCCAGGTAAGCACTGCTTCAACTGGAATGCAGTGCACTCCCTGTGTGTATCTCAGAGCCAACCACATGTGCTTTTGCTGATGTGTATTTGTACATGTAGGTGCCTTCAACAGGAGAGATCGCACTGGTCTGGCTGTGGACCCCAAGTGCCCTAATACTGTCGTCTGCACTTGTGTCAATGGCAAGGTATGTTCCTGCTTATTGTTTTGGTCAACTTGAAAACCTAGGGATGTCCTTTTACACCAGCCTCTTAACCCAGTTACAAAACCCTCAAAAGTTACAGCAGGGATACATGTAGTTGATGGTTTAGGTCTGGTACAGTGTTTCATCAAGCTTAAAAAGAGAGACAATAGTGAATCGAGCACTACTTGCTCATAGAGTGAAAGTTACTAAAGTCAGTTAAGAACAGCAAATGACGATCTTTTAGAAAACTTCAAGAGATGATGTGAACAATTATGTGCAAATTTCATGCCTCTTTCAAAATTATTCCGTAAAAGGAGACATGATGTTGCATTGCATGTGTAGTGTGTATATGTGGATTTATTCTCACACCACTCCCATACATTTACATTAACACAGAGGCTGTCGACTAATTTTAAGAAATGCACCTGTGTCTTTGCTTAAGTAAAAGTTTTTAATGACATCATTCGTTATTTGACTGTACTGCTCGGCTGGTAATTTTTCCCTGTCAGTGCAACATGGTTCCATGCATTTAATACATTTAATCAGTGAAAAATTTTGTTGGAAAACGTTGCCAAGCCCTGAGGTGTGGTACATGTATCTTTTTCCTGTCATGAAGCAAATGCTGAAGGAGTTTTTCTTTTGTTTTCCGACTCCTTCAGGGTTTAGCTGTTTTTGATTTGAGAATGTCCATCCCTCTTCTCTACATCTATGATGTAAGTACCCCACCAGCATTTCTTGACCCTGGATTGACTTTGTGTCTCCCAACTAAAGGTTTTTCTACAGCATTTGGAATGCATTTGTAGCAGTACGTTTACCTGACAAGAGGAAATTGATTTTCAGTCCCTTGTAAATTACATGGAAGTCTTCACCAGGTGTTGTGTTAGAATGGCCTTGCTTCTTCAACATAGTTGGAATCTACACATAGCTGGGCACAAGTTAGTTTGTGGGAAAAGGCCAAGTCAATATCATGCACTTGAAGTTGGTTGTACACAGTCAACCTCTTGCCGTCCAACTTTGCAGCACACCCATCCACTTTTATAAATTTCAAGATATGAAGAACATAAACCAACCAAGTTTGTCTCAATAATTTGTGGCCCAAAGTTTGAGCACCCACACACCCTTCAAAATCCTTTGAAATAATCCTCCGCAAAGTACGTGTACCACTTGGCCTTTCAAGATCTGTCACAGTCTTTTATGTAGCGGACCCACAGCCAGCAATTTGATCTCCCTGTATCATCTCACTGCACCCCCAGGGGTGCCTGGATTGGCCTTTTGGAACTCTACATTGAAACCACTCATTTCTCCATTTATTAATCTACACAAAGATTTACGGGTTACACATCTCACATGACATTTTGATGTGAGAGAGTTTGGTTTAATGAAAAGTGGTTAGCTGATAATAAATGTAATAGTGTATGCAGTTATCTTGTGCCAAAATCTAGGCCGTGTCCAAAACCGACTTCCAGAGCTACAGCTAGGTCTATTTTCTGCACATCTCCACATATTTCCAGTGGAATGGAAACCTAGACATTACTTCTGGACAACAGATCTGGATGTAGCCCAAGTGTTTCAGATATTAGAACTTTGGCCTACTTTTCCAGTATTCAATATTCAGAGGGTAACTTTATGCCTTAACCAGACAAAGCAAAGCAGCTTCCATTTTTGCTACATCCACTTGGATTCGTTGTAATCGTATGCTTTCTTCTTTTGTTGCAGCTTCATAGTGACATTATCAGAGACGTTACTTTTCTGGGGGACACATGGCCATGGTGCTCAGGGGAAACCACCTTTGTCACTGCATCTGTTGATGGACATGGCAAGGTACATGACTAAATTGCTGGCAAAAAATCTTTTCGTTGGTCTGTTTCGTTTCTCTATTTTCCAAAGTGTGTAAAAATCCCCAAAATGTATCCTCACCCTTAGAAAGATCATACATGGTTATATGAAAAAAGTCCACATATTTTGGCTGTCTAACAAGTTGGCCTCCCCATTTGAGTCTACCCCTGAGGCAGTTCCCGAGTTTAATACCTGGGCTTATCTGGTTCAGTGAATATGACAATGGGAACAAAATATGATGCAATTTTTTTCTTAACCCCCAGCAACCCCAAATTTTTGTTGATCCCATTTCCAGTTTTGCTTTATGCAGAACTCCTGGCCCTTGTCATTGGTTAAGTAAGGAGCCA